CTTTGATCATGGTATCAGTTTTTGAGACTGTTATGAGTCTGTCTCTCTGTACAAGCTTGGAGTGATAGAATATATCCATGTAAGACTTTATCTAAGCAATAGCAACAGAGACAGAAGATTCGAACTTCCTCAAGCGTGAAAACTTACCATCTAGAAGCAAAATTGGGGATAAAAAACAAAGCGCACTTCATTGCTAGCTCTGATAAATACAGGTCTAAAAAATAACGAGGCGCGCAAAATTGCTCCAGCATCAGCTAACCGCTGCTGCAATTTAAGAATATTGCATTGCTTACCAATTCAAATAAGGTTCATGCGAAATTAACCATGTCGGCTTCACGAACCGAACCTTATCCTTATCTTAGACGCAGAAGCAAATTTCTTTCTTTTGAGTACTGACAAGAGGTTGTTGAGAAAAGAACTGTGCTTGTGTCTTACAAATATAAATCAACCAGCAGGAAGAAGACAAGAATCGAAATCAACCCTGCTGTAACTCTCATGAGTGACCAAGACAGAAATTCTCCTTACAATATCAATACAATATCAAGCAGACTAATGATGAGAATTTTAAAAAATTGGGATTACTGGTTGATCCAATACTAAATACTCCAAACTAGTATCATAACACTTGTGTCACGGTAGACAGTAAGGAGAATAATTGATGAGATATTAGAAGTGAAAGGCGTGTTAGGGTAAAGTTGTCACTTTCAATACTACTGACCCTTGAAACTTAGACAGAAGAATTTCTTGACAGTGATTTTAGTTGCAACATTGTCGGGAACGTAAAACTGGACTAATTTTTGTATTTTATTCAAAGGTTGATCTAGTCCAAATACTGATAACATGAAGAAGAAAATGATAAAAAATTTTTCAGATTAATTATGACTTAGGGATATACAATTCCTGTTTCTTTAAATTTGTTGGCTCCCAAATTGATCTCAATACGTAGTAAGGACTTAAAGCATTTAGCATACATCACATAGAAAACATTTTCGTGTTTTCAGCCGCGCGATGGTCTGACAAATTAGTTTAACTGATAAAACTCCGCATTCCGCATTCCGATGGATGTTTTCATATTAAATACTTAATTAAGAATACATTACGTGATCGCGGTTTGTTTCTGAAGGATCGCTCTTAAGTTATCAAGTGATGAGTGTTTCAAAGAGAAAAAAGAAAGTGTCTTGTATTGAACTAGCGGGGAAGAAAGCACTTATATGATTTTAACCCACATATAATTACTAAACAACGATTGGGCACGGTTGAATAAGTATGGGAGATACCGACAATTTTCCATTTTCTACGATAACGGAGATCAATAATTCTCTTACTAATCGATCCTCACTGCGTACAAGTCTTTTCCTTAAATTTACAGTCGAGAGGTGAGCGCGCTGTCTAGAAGAAATAAAGGCTAAGGCGGTTGGCTCCATTTTCGCTTCAGTGACTTGTTCAGTCGATTTCCCGTCGTATGTCCAAACAGCAGTTGTAGAAAGTTGCTGTTTCTTGCTTTACAACTTTCATCTTTTTTAGCCAATTCTTGTCGATTCGCATTTAATAGCTGGCAGAGCAAAAAGACAATTTAGAATAGGTGAAATACCATTTACACAATAATATTTATGGGCGATTATTTGCAAGTCATGTTGTGGGTACTTGATCATTGAAAGAGCAGAAAACGGACATCGAATGTAACAATGATATCTGACTGAATAGAAAACCCTTAAGTAGTCACTGAATTACAGCTCGTTATCTTTATAAAATTAAACAGCTTTCACATCTATAAATGACACTTACCTTTAATCAGAAAAGCTAGATTCGTGGCAAATCGGATAACTCATTCTGGAGTCCAGTATTTTTTTAATGCAAATTTTTAAACTGGGCATTGGTCTCGAATGATCGGAAGCAACCAGTGTAGCTTTTACGCCAAAATACACAAACAAGAAAACAAACAAAGCAACACAAAACCAACAAAAACAACCATATTGAAACGTCAAGTGGGTCATCAAAGACGGCCATTTAAGGCCGGCATCGCCTTTGACGATGTGCGATGCTCAAATGAGATATTTCTCCGAGAAAGGGAGAAAGAAATTTTAAAGAGGATGCCAAGCCATGAAAACGGTTTAATCAAATCAGGCGATCAATATTTAAATTCATCATAAGGAAAAATAGTCCTCATGATGCAAAGATTAGAAAGGGAAATCATTCATGGTGGTCTAAAACTGTTAATAACTGCAGACTTTTGTACGACAAAGGGTGCTGTCATTTTCCTCTTTCTCGCCTCCATTGTTCTTGTACGTCAATGTGTAAGTGACGTCAATTGAGTTATCCTGTGTGTTTTCCAACTCATGCAGATCAACGAAAGCATCCGCCCAAGAAGCCGGCGTAATCTGTATTGCATACCTTACACTCGAAAGGATAAAAATTCACTGCTCTTTAACAATGGTCAGATTTTGGTCTTTCACTTTGATCTCGCGTTTAATTCCAAGGCTTCCATTGTTAAACCAAAAATGAAGTTTTTATAGTTTAAGTGTAATTTTGTTTTACAGATTATGTCGGCTTTTGGTTTTCCATATTTGTATCAACGAGAGTGAAAGTAGAACACGCAAGGAAGACAAAAGAGCGACATGGAAAGGGACCAGAAATCATTCTGGAGAATTTTAAGACCCTAAAGAGGTGCTAAATAGTAGAGTGCAAGGAAATATGCATTGATAAACAAAGAACATAAGAACACAATTATCAACTACTAGACGTTTCCGGAAAGAGCAACGAAGAAAGAAGCCCGAAAATATCACAAAGTATTTTTGGATCCTAAACAAAACAGAGCACTAAAGCAAGCTTGACAATCACATTTTTGAGATAATCTACCTTTCAGAATCCTGAAGCAAAAATTAATAATTTTCAAGCGTCATTCAGCACAAGAAAAATAGACAACAAAAAGAGGGGGAAAATAACTCAAGGCCGATTACTGAAACGTAAAGTTTGTAAAAACCGCAGGTTTAAATAAAAATTTGCCCAAAATTGCTCCTAAAATAACGCAGAGGCGCACCATCTAAACTCTCACGGTCCCCTCCGAAATATATATCACAACAGCAGGTATTTACATACAACAGAGTGGTTCCTTGCGGTAACTAACCCCCCAAGGCTCAAAGCTGCATGGAAGGTAGCTTAAATAACCTTTAAATTGTCGTTCCTTTTTCTGCGTGAATGTTTATTTCCACGCAGTCTTTGTTTTTCTTTTGTCTTTTTTGTTTTGTTTTTTTTTTCCTTTTTTTTTTTGTTTTTTGTTTTTAATTTTAATCGCATTAATAGATGGATCGGGCCGAAAACAAAGAGACGATCGAAGCAGAAAGAATTAAACACCACCTCTGTAAAAGCTAGTTGTAGTTTTGAATTCAAAGCTTTTGTATCTTCCTATCCATAATTGGGTAAATGCGGAATAATCAAACAATAGGGAAGTTAATTACGTCAGATATTGCACGGTTTCTGTTCGAAATACACACGCAAATTTTCCGTGTAAATAACCAATTTATCACTGATTGGTTGATTTCGACAATTGAATTGTCTTACGCCCCTAATGAATGATATTGGTCCAAAAGCAACTTTTTCCTTGTTGGTGTGTGATAAATGCGGAGAATAGCTATCATAATATTCTAGTTCAATTCTGTAGTGACATCAGTTAGTTTGATCGTGATTTAGTAATCGTCGGCGCCTAACAGGTTAGTAGAACTGCATGCAAATCATTTTTTTCTTTATTTATGTACCATTGACCTTCCATAGTAATCTTATCATTTATTTTTCCCAAGTTTACAAACTCTTAGACTAATGATAATCATTTTGGTTAATCGATATATTTTTTTTGCTACTTACTTATTTTCTGAGTAGTTAAGCTCTCCTGAACGTGGGTTTGGTAACAAAATTTAAGTTATCATTTTGCACAGAGTAATTTTTTTAGGAACGGCTAATTCCACAGATTTCAGCCGTTGTGAATACTACGTTGTTAATTGCAGTAACGTTGTTAATTGTAGTAAAGCCGCATTTTCAAAATTTTCTCGATTCAGCCTAACGTTTCATTTTAAAAATGGCACTTTTGATCATTGTCAAGAAGGATATTTACTTCAAACAAACCTCTTCTATCGAAATTTATGAATGCTTATTCAAGAAGTAAAAAAAAAAAACACTCGACTCCATCTACTGTTTTCCATTACACTTCTTTCGTGCTCTGGCCGCTTCCTGTGTGCTTTACAACAGAGCAGGGCACAGTCTTTCACACATCTTTAAAAATGATGATCGCGTTGTCGGTTTACGTGTGGTAAAGCCTTAGAGTGAAAGAATCGATATCCACGTATTTCCATGAACAGAGATTAACCAGAAGAAACAAAATTCCTCAAGCGTGAACTCTTACAATCATAAGCGAAAACAAAACACGCCTCAATGCCTGCACTAATTAAAAGTTAGGAAATAATGAGCACGTGCCAAAATGTTCCGCAATCCTTGGACGTGACTGCGTGACCACAAATATCAGAATAGCAGAGGAACGTACGTTGCTTTAGTTGATGGTGACTCTATCTGTGTCTTCTCACAAGCAATTTAATTTCGGTTTAACTTTGGACTTAACGTTGAACCACAATGAATATCTAGCTCATCCTTTTTTAAAAAAAACATCATCTGAGTTCTTTCTGGATTTCTGGAGCTAACGCTGCGCCATTATTCTTACAGAAATTAATCTGATGATATATATTCGTGTTATCCATATGACAAAATGACTCCGTAGGAAGACAAATTCTGGTGAATAGAACTTACACTTTTCACCCTTTCACGTCCAGAGCCAATTGAGCCTGGATCATGAAATGCTATTTAAGCTTTCCAATTTATTGAACAAATGTTGTGATGTAAATATTCAAATAAAATCGCCTTCACAATATTTTAGGGGTTATGGAATTTTCTTGAATTTTGACCCTCTACGAGGTATTTTGATTGATATGATATTAATTTGATTTCTCTTCAATAAGTGCACAGATTCTAGTGCCTCCATAATGAAGGTTTGGTTAGTCGCAGCTGTGATATCTTCCATAGCTGGGTCTCTTGTGGCTGTTAAAGATCAATGCGAAGGGGACAGCTCGTCAAGTTGTTGTTCAGGAGGCGACTTTAGTCCTACCAATCCTTTCAGCACGCTGGGTAAAAAGCTGGATGAGTTGCTGGATTTGATACGAGCACAAGTTCTTCAATGTGGTGGAGGTAAATGAGATTCTGGCCCCTTCTTAGTGCAGAAGGCACAGGACGCGTCACAATAGAACACAGCCTACTTACATAAAATATGCAACACAAGTTTATTATGTCATGCGTTTAGCTATTCATGTGTGACATTACATTATAAAATGCCACGCCAGCTAATTTACAGGTACTCCACATGAATAAAAATTAAATTTAGAAGTAAATACTCTAACATAAGAATAAAAATGTTGAAATTTTGAAAAAGATGAAGTCAGGATCGTAAAATACAATGTAAAGTTATTTCATGTTATGCTAAGAAGTAAAAACGATAATCGTATATACTAAAATAATATAACAGTAATAAAAACGTTAGGTTAAAAAGCCCAAAAGATCGATGTTTTTATACTGTACTGAAGGCCTTGGAAGTTCCAACGGTTCTGTGCAACTCTAGTAGCACATTCCACTGCTTTGGCGCTACGTAACGCCACGATTTCAGTCCGTAAGTTGTGGCGTTGCAGCTTTAGAATGTTGGTTCTCCTCACATCGTATTTAAAATCTAATAACTTTTTTTTTATGCTTTTAAAAATGATCGTAATAAATATCTCTAAAAACCGTACACATTACTTTTGCGAGTCTTTGATTAGTCAATGCCAGTATGCCTATCTTTTTGAGTTGTTCCTGATGGTGCATTTTTTTTCGTTAGAAACAAATCGGGGGGTCGGAGAGCACGTTCGTTAAGTGAAAAAAGAGCCGGTTTTTGTACTGGTAATTTTACTGCAGAAGCGCCAGGTCTCAGAACAATAGTTGTAATGGAGAAGGATGAAAGCAAAATAGATGTTTTTTCTTGATTCAAAGGGAATTTTTTTTTTCATAGGCTTAAGCACAGCAACTTGCTGAGAGACTTCTGGCTACTAACCTTTTGTTTCCATTGTTTTTCTCGTTTTTTGTCTTTCTTGTTCTCTGTTGTTTTACCTCATCCGTATCTTCCACACTAAGTGAGAGCCCTTTTTCCATAATTAGAACTATTTGACACATGGTAGCCTGGTGCGCTAGGTCGAGAGATCTGAGTTCGAAGCCTGGCCGGGTGTTGTGTTGTGTTTTTAAGCACAAAACTTAATTCCCACAATGTCTCTCTTCATCTTGGACTCTTAAAGAAAAACTAGGAGTTAATCTCTGTCGCCAAGAGAGCCACTTGGTTGGAGTGAAATCTTAAACAAAATTTTTTATACAGATGACTGTGTAAGACTATCGTGCGACTGAGGGACATTACAAATTTGTCTCCATTTAAGATATGTTTTCTGCTCGCCAAAAACTTTTAGAGGAACTTATGAGCAGGAGAGATTAATCATAGATTGAAATAAGTGGCCAACCCGCTTGAAGCCATGAGATAGTTCATAGTTTTTTTTTTCTTTTTGATACCATATTCCAGGTCGTGCACTAGAGACTACGCCCAAGTCGTGCAAGGAAGTTGTGGACAATGGAAGGTTAGTATATGATGAAGCTGAATTCAGATCAAGACCACGTAAAATAATTAATTGTTGTAATACGGAACACCTCTATAAGACACGGTGAGTTGAGGTTTGAGGCGGAGCTTCGTATCAAAACTGACTCTTGCTCAGTCAGACTACAAACAGTAACTAATCTTTCCCAGCGTAATCCGTCACGTAGTTAATATAAATCGACTAAAAATTAATATCTTTGCACCACATGAATTCTCGGAAGCGAGACGCGCGGAAGGAGAAACTGGTGCTGAGTCTTGAAGACTACTCGAAGTCTAGTCCCTAGTCGTCAACATAACGCGCGCGGCATGAGTGTGCTAAGAGGACAATGAACCACCAAAAACTGGAAACATAATGAGTCAGCTGGGATCGAACCTAAAACACTCAGTTAGAAGAAAGAACAATCCATACAGTACTTCTCTAACCTTCATTAGGAGACATTTTATGTGGACACCGGGGAACTCGTTTAATCGTAACTAAGTTTAATAGGACAAGGGCCACAAAGCTCGACCTCTCACTAGATTTTGAGTCTAACGGAGGATATTCCAATAGCAGATTACAATACTAGTTAACTTGGATCTAGTATAGGTATCTGGAAATAAGTATGTGGGGAGAAAATATTCCGGAGACCTCTCCTTTAACACATTCCCTAAAATATTTCTATGGCCCTCAATTACAACTACCCTCACTATAACTATTTTCATAACACTTACTATTATAAATTATTATTACTGTAGGTGTACCTTTTGTTATTACCATTGATATTGCTAGTCTCATGAATACTGTTTTCCAATCAGATCCGATGGAAACAAAGCCTACACACTGGATGTTGGAGGCAAAAAGATGCCCGTTTTCTGTCAGGTGACTCCACTTGAAGGCTGCGGAGGAGGTGGATGGACGATGGTCATGAAAATAGACGGAACAAAGGTATCAGTTACAATAGCAACGATCACGAAATAAAAACTGTGGTCTTTATCAAAGGACTCAGGGAAAAAAGAAAGCATTCTATTCTATCTAGTACCCAGGACAGTTTACTTCATCTTTTAGTACATACCATACAGTTTAATAAGACTTTTCGCGCGCGCTGACTGGCTGATTTGGAAGTGATTAGCAAGTGTCATTCACTTCCGAGCAATCAAAGAAACAAAATTGCGCGTCAACAATTCAGTTTCCGACCTTCCTTTTTTTTTTTTTTTTTTTAGAATTGCTTTACAATTTGAATTTCCTATGTTGAAATCAAATTTGACGGCTGCGGAGAAAAAAAAGTTTCTTGCTAAAAAACACTTTTCAGGGATTAAAAGTAAAAACTGGGGGAGGGAAGAAAAATCACAGTAGGTCGTGGATCATGTGTTGGGAAGGTTTTAACACATCTACGGGTACATCAATACATTGATTGATTGATTGATTGATTTATTAATTACTTCATTCGTGCATCAATTCATTCTCCTTTTCACTGATTCGTTTATTCGATTCACCGAGTCATTCATTAATCCATTCTATCTGTCCAGTTATTTATCAAGTGATGATATTTTTCTGTTTTTTACCCTTGATTTATTTATTCATTCATTCATCAGTATTTTTTTTTTTTAAAAAGTCATGTTAAAAAATTGATTTTTTAGAAACACTTCACTTATGATTCTGCCCTGTGGACCGACCTGATAACGTTTAACACTCATGGCGGGGAGACTGGGTTTGACGCACACGAAACAAAGTTATCGACCTACTGGAAAACACCCTTCTCTAAGATCTGTGTTGGTATGAAGATTGGAAATGATCCAGTCAGATTCCAAGTCATCGACCAACATGCCACCTCTCTCCATTCACTGATCGCTGATGGCGAATATCGGGCCACCTCACTGGGACGAGACGCGTGGAAGGATCTGATTGGCCCCCACGCCTCCTTACAGCGTAACTGTAACAGAGAAGGGTTCAATGCTGAAGCCGACCGAGATAACCTTTCAAAGGCAAGAATTGGTATCACTAGTAATAACGAGAATGATTGCAACACTAATGATTCCAGGATTGGATTTGGTACTGCAGGGTATCCTGACGAGCACCAGTCGTGTGGGAACGTAGCGCGACATGGTGGTGACAATGGAGACAAGACCACCCCAGCCATGGGATACATCTTGGTTCAGTAAGATGTTCACAACCGCAAGCAAATGATCCATTTTTTTTTTTTTGTTTCAATAGAAATTCAGGTGATACTGAGCGAGATTGCGATCGGCGATTTCATTTTTGCTGATAAAATTTTGACAGTTGTTGTTAAATCAAAATAAAGATCTTAAATTAAACAAAGTAAACGCTTGGTTTTATTTAACTATGATATTCAGCTCTTTGAATAATAGTCACGACATAATTTGCATTTTCCTAAAGATTTCATAAGAACCTGGAAAACTGAAAACTTCTGATCCATAATTAAGCAAAGAGCACAAGTGGACCGCAATTTTACCAATTGCAGATTTTTATAAAGAGAGCCTGAAAAATTCCAGCCTGAACGCGATTCGAGCCCGTCCCCGCCTAGATAATATGGGCCGGTTATTTACTCGAGGTCTGACCCCAATCACTGTTTTACTCAATCAGTAGTCCTCAGGTTTTCTCGATAAGAGAGTTAATTTAACTAATTAAAATGATTGTTCTTCCATTGTTAACTTTTCGCCTTCCGCACACTGTTGAAGCTCTCAGATAAAAGGTCCAGCTTCAACTAACTAGTAGCGAGAGGAACTGATTTGTTCAGGCTCCTTCGATCAAACGCCCTAGAAAGCGCCTGCCTGGTAAGCTGCCAAAAATACGCAAATTATATCACATACAAGTTTAGCAAAAGGTAACCGTAGGAGTCAGTTTTTAGCAAAATTAAGCGTCTGTCCCTCACCATTTCCTTTTGAGTTTAAGCTATTATAAAAATGCGGCATTGCACCTTTTCGTGTAGGATTCTTAACTGACTGAGCCTTGCCAATTTCGAGAACCAAAAAATAATCTTTTATGGGACAAGAACGGGTAAAGAAAGGATTAACACAGATCTAAGATATAGATTTTAATAAACTTAGGCTAAATGAAAAATAAATAATTTTTTAGGTGTATCATTACTTTGAAACTACTTACAACATCACGAATATTTATCTGTAGCTGGAGTTTTGAGAATTAGGCTGACCACAGAGTTGGGTTTTAATCATCCTCACGGCGGTCAAATCGAAATAAAATGCAGCGAGAAAAGAACAAACAATCAACTCCTCTTGCAAATAATTCCATGCATATCCCGCAACTGCAATAACGAAAAAAAAAACATCGTTAGCCTACTGGTAAATGCCTTTGGCCGACCAAAGACTGATAAAATAGATCAATAGGTAAAGCGAGAAGTTTTATTTTACCACTCTAGAGATAATATTGGAAGTCATGAACCATGACCAACCAAATATTCCCTTCGCGGGAAAAGTTTGACTGCACATGGCGTCCATGACAACGGGAATCGAAGTGTCCAATCAGGATTCAGAACAGAAATATCCAGGCTTCGGTTCCCATACTTCGTCGAGCGTGAATGCAAGATGGTGTACAGTTCAGCCTACAGACGGGCCTATAGAAAACCTCTGTGGGATGATTATGGTAAGGAAGAATTTATTAGTAAGTTGCAGTATAGGTCAGATCGAAGGTCAATAGAACATCGCCATCAGCCTTGGAGGTGGGACAGCGAAAGTGAAGAAGAAGATATTGAAGAGATTCCGGCACACGATGGCAGTTATGATGGGGGACGCCGTCAGTTTCATCCAGACGAGAAAAAAGCTGATAAAAAACCGCCAAAGAACGCATGGGAAGAAGAGAAAGATTTCAAAGAGAACGATCATGCTGAAAGAGCCTTACCTTTGCCTGAAAGACTTAAGTTTGACGAAGCAGAGAAAGAAGAAAAACCAAAACATACGCGTTCTGCGGAGGACGCGAGACTAAACGAACGTGAGTCTCGCGGTGGCAGAGATCACAGGCGTAAACATCACAGATCGTCGGGAGATGAAAAGAAACAGCGATCACACTCGAATTCACCGGAAAAGGATCCAATCTCTAGGGATAGAAGAAAGAAAGCGCCCTTTCTCCCTTATGGAATGGCTAACGAAGGACCTGTAGACATGTGGAAAACTCATAATGTGCTGGCTTCACAGCCCGAGGCGAGTAAACAAATAAAGATTTAAGTTAATTTTAAAAACAATATTGTCGGTGGAATATTGTCGGGAGGTAATCATAGCAGTAACCTTTAGAGCATATAGTTTGACCTATTATGAGGCAAAATTGTTGGCAAATGAATCTTATGCGGAGATGTACGTCTTCAAATCCTCCAGTGAGAGTTTGTTTCTTTTTGTTAATTAAGGAACTAATTTTTGGAGTGCAATGAATGTTAAATAATTTATTTAAGTGCTAATGGCGGAAAAAAGCTTCTTGTCGTACTTAACACTTTTGCTTCCAAGATCTAATAATCAAGTCTCTGTACTGTATGTTCATTTTAGCTTTAAACATTTGGCATTAACCTAAGAAATCACCCATCAGTTGATCTAATTCCATCTTCTCCTCACCTTTTTTACCAAAAATGTATTAAAGTTCTATGGAGGAATTCTTTCACCCACTCATTATTAGGCCATGAGAATGAAAGAAATGATCACCAACCAAAGAAGCTCTTGAATTTTAAACAAATTCTCCTTTTTAGCATCTTTGGAAATGAGCACAGAATAGTACAAAAAATATGCCTATTGATCTTAGGGGGTACAGTTAAGTTAATCAAGTAAAGTATTAATGGCCATGTTCATTATTACTAATAATTTGTTTACTGGGTGGTTAAATAAGTTTTGAAACTCTCCCTTCAGGTGTATCCTGCTGCTCTTCGTGCACAGAAAAGAAGACAACAAGAGATTAAAAAGAAAGCTCAACTGCGAGAAGAAGCAGTAAAAAATAAGGAAACACCAGCACATTTTGATGTGGATGTTGCATTTCCAAAAACCTGGTGGATGACAGAGTATCAGAGAAACTTTTGTAAAGAGGAAGATGTCAAGAGACACTTTTTGAGATAACATGTACTGTACATTAAATGACCAAGTGCTTGACTTTTGAGTACGTGCCAACCATCACAGTCAAAAGTGTTTGTTCTTAATTTTAGAGAGTGGTAATTATCACAGCCATGTTGTATGACTTGTTCTCAAACTCATTAGTAATTCATGCTGAGAATACAAAGGAAATTACAACTGTGAAGGAGGTTTGGATATGTGATCTTAATTATCATAAAATTTGGTGAACTTTTGCTTTGATTTTCTTCAAGAATTATTGATGGTTTGAGAAGCTATATCAAACATTTGAAAGGGTGTTTCATCCGATATCCAAACACCTTGAAGTTGGTTAAAAAAAACTCGGCTGCACCTCATTTTTTCAACCACTTCTTGGTGTTTAGATATCGGATGAAACACTCTTCCTCATGTTTGATATATTACATCAAGTAAACTCAAGTATAAAGTTCATATACTACAAAATATGATTCATTGATTTGAACGTTTTTTTAGTGTATAGTTTTTTAGTCAAATTTGTGCTTCAGTAGGGTGATCATTTTTTAACTAGATTAAAGCATAAAATACTGTGATGTAATCTCATGTGAATTGTGTTCAAATGTCTGTTACTCCTGTTGTACTGCATCGAGTATCCCTTCCTGCTAATCTTCATGTAAAGTTTTGACAGGAGCATTTCCACAACTGAGCCTCCATTAACAATCTCACAGATGAGGTAAGCTGGGATCTTCTCATAAGTTCTGTGAGTAGCTCCCTCTCTATTACCTCAGGACTCTAATGGAAACTGTGTTTTTACCAAGTAGAGAGCATTTCTGAATGAGCAAAATCCTATGGCTATGCATGAGGCAAAATACAGTAGGATTAATTAAAAGATTGCCAGTACCATACCTCAGAAACTGACACAGGGTCCTCCTCCCTATTTTTTTTAGTAAAATATATCACCTCTGCACATGTAACATTAGTGCAGGAGGTCTCAATAGAGAGGTCTGTTTTAAGCAAATCACTTTTACCTTAACCCTTTATTGACCCAAAAGTGACAAGCATCTAAGTTACCTTCCAATATCACCCATTAATTGCATATTAAGGTCTGGAAGATATGACCACCAACTAAAGAAGCTCTTGATTGTGAAACAAATTCTCTTATTCACTCTCATTGGAAATCTACAAAACAGTATAGAGAAAATACATCCTGATGTGAGGGTGTAAAGCTAAGGGTGAAGTCAACTTGCACAGGTCAGTACACATGCCTCAACAAGTGATAAAGACAAACTTTTCTTCATGTAGTAGATGTTAAAATTTATGAAATCCACACCACAGTACGTCCTTACTGACAAGAAATTCAATTTTTTTGTGCTTAATTATTTACACTGAAAATAGGCAAAATTGTGTTGCATACATACCAGGGATCAATATCAGTATCTGGGCAACTGCCCACTTACCCCTCCCCTAACCCAGCAGCAGTCAATTGATAACAAGTTAGGGATAATGTTGGGTTAGGGGAGGGGTAGGTTGGCAGTTGCCCAGATACTGATATTTATCCCATACCAGTACCAAAATAATTACAGGTGGCAAGTTTATTCTCTATTACTGATTCTAAATGATTACTTTTGTGCCGGTTTTATTTAAAGCGTGTGTGTTTGTGATATTAAAAATGCATGTCAGCTCCATTTCACATTTGCAGCTACACCAAAAGAAAGAAGAAAAAAATCAGACCAAAAGTTCATCCACTCCTATAACACACATTTTAACTTTTGCTACAGTGGCAAAATGTCAAGCATGTCCTGGAGTGGAAAACTTTTCTACCAAAATTGTTGTGAGTTTTTCTTTTCTCATGCATTTCATCTTTATTTCCACTATTTTATAAGATTAGTGGTCTTTGAAATTGCCCCATGTAGTTCAATGAGCTTAATAACTGTTTTAGCCACTATCAAAATAATTTTAGAAAGTGACTCAATTTTTCTTCTCTGCTCAATCATTGTCTTAAAGTAACAGTTAACAATTGAACCTCACAAAGTGTGTCTTCAGCACACAAAGAAAGAAAGAAAAAGAACACAGGTTAAAATATTTAAAAAATCAATATCAACTATATGTAGCAATAACTACTGCAGCAAGGCCAAATTTAGACAAGCAGCAAAGAATTTGACCCAAGTTCACATTAACTCAGGTACATCCTTACTAGGCAATTTCTTTCCACACAGTTTTTAACCCTTTCACTCCCAGTAGTGAGCAAGACAGAATTTCTCCTAACAATATCAATACAATCTCAGACAAGTGATGAGAATATAGAAAAATATCAGTAGATAAATTATCATTGACTCAATACCAAATTCTCCAAACTAAAATTATAAGCAATGTATGACAGACAGTAAGGAGAATTACTAAAGAGATCATGGAGGTATAAGGGTTAAATCAGTTAAGTACTACACAGGCCAAAATGCGCATACAAATCACAAGTGCTAATCAAATAAATAGATTCCATGTTGTGGATGAGAACACCCAAACAGCGTAGCACGACACTACCATTTTAACAAGATTGAAACTGCATAACAGTTCTTGAAAAAAAGACAACTTCAGTAACTTATAATATCAGAATCAGGTAAAGACATCTTTGGGTTGTTATCAATGAGTACTCTTTGAGTGCCTATTTAGGCTAACAATTTAACAATATGGAAATTTAATTCAATTTCCAGACATCAGTAACAAACTCATCCTTAACAAGTTCCTCAAAGAACAATTTTACAGTGCATGTACCAAAGCCACTACTACTAACTTAAGACAATCACAAAACCAAAAGGCTATTTCACAGGTGTTTTATAACAACCTAACCCCTGAGGGTAACTAACATCTAGTTTCTCCTAAAAGCAGCATTCCTGAATCAAACATCAAGGTAAAAAGACTAGAGGCTGGCTTTCACTTAGAAGGAGTAAGTGCCATAATCAGAATTACAGAGCATTACAATCAAGAGGAAATCAAACTGACTGGATCAGTTTTGAATTTGCTGCCACTTGAACTGGCCTTAAAGGAAACAATTGCCAACAAAACAAGGTTATGACTGCTAAAAAAAATTATCTTTGTCAGTTTCACAAGAAAGAACTAGAGAACAGTATGAAGAATAAGCATACTGATGTTAGAGAGTAAAGCATTTGTATGCAACAATTCAAACTCAGCATGCACTTTAAAAATGCTAGTTACTAGGGGCAATTTAGTAACTGTGCCTTTGTTTAACGTTTTTTTTGGTCAGCCATTGTCAGGTAATAACTGATACCAGTGTATTCTTCCATACAAACTCTGACAACCTACAGGCATGCAAGAGTATATTATTCATTTGAAAGACATAGGATCACATAACACTGAAACATCAACAGGAAAACAGAAAATATGTCAATTGTACAGTTGAACCTTGCTTAGCCGAACCTCCTTTATCCAGACCTCGATAATCTGGATTTCATTTTTCAGGACTCATGGTTCCATTTTTTGTGAATATTCATACCTAACATGTGAGATCTGTCACAACTTTTTCACATCAAACAAAGCAAATGTAATGCTATTCTATTAATGGAGCTCCATGGAATGATAAAATTAGCAACATACACACAAAAGCAGCTTAAAACAAACTGATTTACATCATCATTTTACGTCATATAGGGTCGATGGTTAACTTTACTGTCTTTTTAAAATATTTTTGGAAAATTCAAAAGATGACGTACAGTGATTTATATGATACACACTCAGTTATAGTCTTGGCTCCTTAAAATTCATATTTTACATTATCTGAACTTTTGATTATCCAAACTTTTCAGCCAAATCCCCACGACTCTGGATAATCAAGGTTTGCCTGTACTACTTTGCAGTGATTGGTTATATTTGAAAATGTTGCAACCTTTTCTTTTCCATCCAACCCTCTGATTTGCCTTCACTGCCTTGGTGGCAATGTGTTTTAAAAAGTAAATGTAGAAGATTCATTGGCAGCTAAGCTGTACACATACTTATTACAAAATGTTAACAAGGAATCAGTAATCTATCTTTACTTAAGAGCAAAGGAGTATTCAATAATATCTTGTAGGTTTATGTGTTGTATTCACCATGCAGGATTATTTATCAAGCTTTTAAGGAGATGATTATGCACCCACTGCAATTACAAGTCTATCATACATCACTTTTTTTAAAACCACAAAAGTCTTGTATTCAACTAACTATGCAAACTTAACAAGGTTTCTTTACTACTGTAGTAAGATTGGAATGAGATTGAGGTTAGCATGCACATTTCTGCCGTTCTTCCTGTCTCCCAGGTCGTATTGATCTTCGGAGTGATGGATCACCATACTGAATTCCTGAACCCATCCTGTCTGGGTCCAATTCACCTGTAGAACACAGCAAAGAAAAATTGTGTTCAGTTATTGACATTTCATGTACTAGTTGAAGACACGATTACTGGTAAGTGATAGAGTTTTCAAAAAACATTGTTGCATTATACACAATCACTTAAGCTAAACAAAATATTGTGGTTGTACCATCCATCAATGCAGTAAGTAAACTTCTAAGTAAACTACTTAGAAGACTACAAGTTTAGTAGACAGGTAACATTCAGGTGAAGTCAGGAATGTCTTTGACAGAGTGTTAATAGGAGACTTGAGACCCAGGCAGGTGATACACCACTCCACAACAATCCCTGGGGAAAGGAGTTACCCTAAGTAACTGGGTGGTCCTCAGTGCTGACACCTAACCACTGTAGAGGTATGTAAGTCACCTACCAGTTTCAATTTTACTGAGGATGGTTCTTGAGCACTTTAAAAAGGCCTCTTCAACATTCTCTCCTGTAAGAGCACTTGTCTCTAGGAACATCAACTCTACATAGAAAAAAAAAAATCAGACAGTCAAAAAACAAAATTTTCTGGTAACCATTTGTCTAACAATGCAAACAATCCATTTCTTTTGAGCCCTATTCCTTTTCCTCCATGTATTTACTGACCATTCTCTTGTGCAAATCTGCTAGCTTCCAGAAATGTGACTTCTCTGTCACTATCCAGATCTTTCTTGTTACCGATGAGGATTATGACAATGTTTGGACTGGCAAGGGTTCTGGCATCTGTCAACCAGTTTGTCAGAGAGTTGTATGTTTCACGGCTGCAATCACAAGCAAAAAAAAGACACCATATGCAAAGGTAATTGTTTCTGCCAACAATTGCCTTGAAAAGAATAATACATCATTATTTTTTAATGAAAAATAACTGCAGCTGCCATAACTTTCAGCCTAATGGGTTTACCAGAGTAGGAGGAATTTTTAAAACCTGACAAATTAAAAGATAATAGATCTCCGAGTATCTTTTATAATTTTTTTTAATTTTATTTTTTATTTTTTTATTTTTGCAGTAACATTTCTAGTATAGATCATCATTCACTGTTTTTTTTTTAGTTAAAGCTTTTTCTTACAGAAGGCCACAATGTCATCAGTTCCACTACATGCTCCCCTCTTAAAATAAAGACTATTGATTGATTGATTGTTTGATTGATTGAATGATTGCCCAAGACAATATTGTAGCATGATGCAAGTTGCCCAATCTCAACTCTTCAACTCTGATGTAAACTTTCCTTATAACATTCTTACAATATTCAGTAAACAGGTGATGAGAATACTCAGACTCATCAGGTAGAAGTTGTTATCTTGATCTAACACCAAATTCTCATAACTTATTCACAAGAAATTGTGTAGCAGTTAGAAGGGAGAATCAACAATCAGATGTTGGGATTTAAAGAGTAAAAGAGATGGGAATAAAGGATTACTCCTCATAAATGGCTCTATGAGACCGGGACTACAAGCATAACCCCTTCGCAAAACAAATTTAAAAAATTCGAAGAAAAAATATTGCAACACTATTAAAACTCCGAGAATGGAGGCTGGTGGGTAGAGGTTCCCAGAGTTCAAGCAGCACTTGATGTCAGCTGGAACTTCCCTCCAGGGCCCAATTGTTTGGAGGCCAATTAGCACTAACCCAAGGTTAAATTTTGATCTGGGTTTCTTTATCGCTTTAGTCAAAAGCCTTTTTGGGATAATTTTCTGTGTTCTTTTTAGTGCATCAAATAGTCATATTCCAGACAAAAATAAATTAGACTGAATTTTCTTTTAAAGCTTTCAGATCTGGCCCAGGAGTCTAGAGCAGTCATGTTGTACATGAACCATTAGCCACTTGTCTCTCTCAAGTGTTCCCCAAGTACCTCAGTCAGCATAGTAAGGTTATTTACCTGGAAATGTCATAAACCAGAAGAGCTCCTGCTGCTCCTCTGTAATAACTCCTCGTCACAGACCTATCATCAAAATAACAAAAATGAAAAAGATGCTTTGAGGGAAAGAGAAAATTTTTGTGAAATGGAAAGAAGCCATATACTTTATTAGTGACCCCTAAGCCTTGTTCCAAGACAAAATTTTAATTCATCAAATATAGGAGTAACAATATTGCCTGAGGTAAATAGATTCCAGACTGGGCCAGCAAATTTTCTTGCTCTCTTGTCCATTAGGCCAAGTCCCAGCCAAAACATACTTTCAGTTCTCAGTGCTGTCAGGAATTTATTATCTTAGATCCCTGAAAATATGTTACCAACTGCCTGAAACAGAGCCAATGAATTTGCAATCTATATTATCAAACTGTAGATAAAAATGCAGGATGGCACTAAGTAAAACTGAAATCTTGGTTGACACCTATTGAGTATTGTTGAAACTGTTACAGATGAATATCTCCATATAAGAACTTATCCTTAAAGGTTGCTACATTTTACAATTGAAAGGAGAAATGGTATCATCTCTATTTTTGTTAAGCTCTGTTGCTCAAAATTGTGTTTAACTGTATGTTAACTGTACGACGCAACAATATGTATTACATATTTATTTCTTTTGAGAATTTTTCACCTATAATTTTTAAGGACAGGGTTCTCCCTAGTTTTTAGCACAACAGGTAAGGGACCTTTTCAAACCAGTAAAGCACATTTGCAGCTTCAGGCAGCTGGTGATTCACAACTTTTGTCATTGCCTAAAGCTTACAGTACATTGCGCCTATCAAAAATTCTCCATTGAAAAATTCATAATGTGAACGATACACCTTTAGGTTCAGAGGTTGAAAAAAACAAAGTAAAATTTTGTTTTAAAGCATTATATTTGACTATGCCCTTTCCAAACTGCTTATAACATAAACTGGTCTCCCTTTGATTTGGGTGATATCTTTGGCATCACTTACATGGTATGTCACTGAAAAATCAGCGGTGTCAGCTATGAATTGCATCGCTATGAAATCGAATCACATTGAATAGCTCAATTCATGTTCTAATCATCTCAAATTCAGAACTTTTAGGCTGTTGAGAGATTTTATTTTCAAGACTTCTTTCAAACCGTTGTCTGAAACACATTTCAAGTAGAATTTCCTGATGAAGAATAGCTTTGTCCCCACATGTTCATTATACATCTTATAATTGTAGAGCTGTCAAGGCCGTTATTTCTGGTAATTGGCTGCTTATCCATCACTAGTATGTAACCTTTGTTTTGTTTACCCCTAAAATTCTTGTAAAGCTTACCAGCCACTCTTCGTGACCTCTTGTTACTGGACAGAAATGACAGCATTGTTTGCTGCTGTTTCATCGTGGAAACTGAACAATGAAACAACACCACATTTGCACATGCAGAGAACTGACAAATGTTATGAGATTTAGCTGAAAGCCCGCGAAAAATCACTCTTGCTTCAAAATTCGAAAGATACCAGTCAGTTTTAGCTAACTAAAGCACACATAGATTTCAAATAGTGCATACTGGTTGCTTGTTATTACACTTTCTTACCAGATTAGCTCACCAAAAATTTTTATTTTTTAAGGGTTCTGAGCGTTTACAGATGGTAATAAGCGCTCTTACAAGTGGTAGGAGTAAACAGCTGGTTACCACCTGATAAGGAGAACCCTGTAAGGCTGAAACTGATTTTGTGAACGAACTTTGCCATAGTCACTTAAATGATAAGTTACCAACCTTTCCCACAAAAACAGAATTAAAAAACAAGATGTGGAAAGGCTATAGGATTTTGACTAATTTTAGCCATGTACAGCTAATGCCATAAAAAAAGGAAAAACACTTGCTTAAAATTGATTCGAAAACGTATGCATATCTCTTGAAGGAAGTAGAAAATCATACACTGCACAAGCTAACAGGGATTTGAATAAATATTAGAAATTCGAAATCGTAGCGATAAAAATTTGAAGGATGTGGAAAATCATACACTGCACTGGCTAACAGAAGCTTGGATAAATTTACCTGAATCTTTCCTGTCCAGCTGTGTCCCAAATTTGCAACTTCACAGACTTGCCACCAACATTGACTATTTTGGAGCCGAATTCTACACCAATAGTGTGGCTGGAGTCTTGTTTGACTGCCAAACATACGAACAATTTTAAGATGAACATACAAACGAGTGCAAGCAAGAGACAAAAATCCAAAACAACAGAGAAACAAAAAATAAGCTCATCAAAGCAAAAGGAGTCAAGTAATTCAAATCTGCAAAACGTATCAATATCGACGTGTTGTGTAAAAAAAAAAATGCAACTTGGCATCTTTCAGGTGCACTGTGTTTTATTTAACACAAATAACGTTGCAACTTACATTTCCCCTCTATAAATTGATGCAGAATGCAAGACTTTCCTGTTCCAGCGCTGCCGATCACCAAAAACTTAAATAGGAAATCTGCGAGAAAAAAAAATGAAACAAAACAGTTTAAATTTCTTAAAATTGTGCTGACTAGCGATCGACTAAACATCATTTGGCTGGGAACAGCTACACTCACGCAACGAAAACACAGCTGATTGACAAAGTGCTATTTTCTGAAATATTAAGAAGTAATTTCTGCTTTACCATAGTTCTCTGACATGTTTCCAGCTGCTTGAAACGAAAAATTTATGAGTTGAAGGAATTGTTCATCACAAAATGTCCGCTAAGTTGAAAATTTCCCAGGATTCTACATTGCTAAACGGAAAGAAGTTGTCGTACTCCTCTAGGGCAGGCTAGGGAATATCTTGATATCGATTAACTTCATCACATATTTCTACTCAAGTGGACAAATTTTTTAGTTGAAAATATCAAAATATATATCCCCCACGACTGATAATAACTTTAATTGAATTATACGTTAATTCTAAGAATTTATGCCCAAAAGACTTTGTTACTTACCCCTCCCTGTCGAAGGCCATTCCTCCCCATGAGTATGCGCAATCGGATATTGCGCGGCCATTTTAGAAGTTACAAAAACGTTCGTAGTTCAATTTCAAATAACGCGTGATAAATTTCGCGTGATATGGAAGTGCGGCAAAGTGGCAGTAAGTTCAACGGGAAGCCCTTGATTGGACTATTGCAGTTGCATCCTTCAATGTTTTAATATTCTTTTAATAATGCTCGTTTTTAAAGGTAGTGACGAGACAATGACACAGACCCAGGAAGACTCGCACGATTTGGATTCAAAGTTATCGGGTCCTGTTCCAATTGTTGTGGCCACAGAAACCCACACCTTTAAGCTCGCCGAGAAGGCTTTGGAAGATATCTTGCTCGATGAAAGTGTTAGAGACAAGAAGGTCGCTGTAGTATCCGTTGCCGGTGCATTCAGGAAAGGAAAATCGTTTTTACTGGATTTCTTTCTCCGGTATTTAGACAGAGAGGTACGCAGTCTGTGATTCATGTACGTGTTTTGGCAAATTTTTGTACATTTTAGTCGGTGACAACTTCATCAAACATCAGAATAAATGGCTAACATAACAGTGGCTGATACACAGCATTGAAAAGTTATTTCTTGGTTGATATAGGCTTAATATAAAACCAGAGAAATCGGAGATTTAATGCGTTTCCCAAAATTTGAATTATTTAGTGTAGGAAACGCCGTTTGTGTTGATACAGGTGGAAAACAAAGGAGTCTTTCAACGCGTTTTCGAGACAATTTACTTTGGTTTGTTTCATGAAAATGCCTTTAGAAGGATTCGCTTTGTTTATGTCAGATATCATATCTTTTACATGTGTGTAAAACTTTATTTATTGATTATTAGAGTAATCTATATTAGATCCCTAGCAATTTAGTTATGCTTACTTTGTTAAGTTTGTGCAAGCAAGGTCTGTGTAGCTGTACATGAATTTCCTTTTGGGGGAAATTTTTTTTCATTTTAGTTTCATGTTATACCATACTAAGCTGAAATGAAATAAGACACCACTTGTTGAAGGATTAATGAGGTTAATAATACTATTTTACATGTACAGTCAAGCTTGCACAGATATTTAAGATTAATTTAGTCATGATACTCTGTATGTCAATGTGTACTTTGTACTGTCTAAAAGACATTTACCTGCACATGAAATTTCATCAGCAATAGATTACAATACTTACAGACAAGGAGGTAAAATAACCTAAGCCTGTATTTCCAAGGAATGGTAGGGAAGAAGGAGAAAAATAAAGCATGCTTCTTTGGTTTTCCATTTTCTCAATTTTGAGGTGTACTTAAGTGTGTGTTAACCCTTTAACTCCCATGAGTGACCAAGACAGAATTTCTCCCTACAATATGGATACAATATCAACCAGATAAGTGATAAGAATAAAGAAAAATATAAATTTGGGGTTAATTAGTTGTTCCAATACTAAATTCACTGAACTAACATCATAAGAATTGTATGTTTGACAGTAAGGAGAGTTAGAAATTTGATCTGGGAGTTAAAGGGTAGTTAAGGGGGGAAAGATTACATTTAGTCTACAGAGCCAAAAAACTGTGGTCATAACTAGATCTTTTTGGTTCAAGGCACCATGTTTAATTCTTTCAATTCTTCATTTAAATGAACTATTTTGGTGGCTCGCTGTAGTTGACACAGTTTAATTGTAGTAGTTAATCTTAGACATTAACATCTCTTTGGTTAATTAGGGAGCTCAAGATTGGATTGGAGGAGAGAATGAAGCCTTGAAGGGTTTTTCTTGGAAAGGGGGGTCTGAGCGTGATACCACTGGCATCCTTCTGTGGAGTAAGCCATATATAAAAAAGCTCCCCAACGGAGAAGAGGTTTGTTGGAAATGCTTATTTTTATCCCTTGCCTGTAAAGATCTGAGAGTCACTTTTCCTTGCTAATGCCTTTGGTTTGTCTGTCTTTGAGCATTAGAAAAGTTGTTCTCATCATATTAATGCAGAGTTTCCACTAGTTTTGATAATTAAGGGTCCTTGGGACCCCCAGTTCCAAAAAGTTGGGGTCCTTTTAGCATTTTAGGGGTCCCCTGCCTTTAACATAAATTTGATTTTATAGTTTTTAACAGTGAAGTAAAATGAAGACTAGGTGGTGACACAATTAATAAAGCTTTAATTTTGGAATAGTGTGCTTGTGTTTCTTAATACCAACAGTTCTTGTATTAGTTTTCTAGTAAGAGTCTCACCTTGTCTTAGTTTACAATATATGCTTAGGGTTAGGGATAAATAATAATTTTAATAATTATAATAATTATAATTAAATGTAGTAATGATGTAACAAATACATGTGACATACATATCAAGTCACACTCAAGTGTCTTTCTACTGTTTTACTTTTTTCTTTTATTCATTTCATAGAATTTCTTTGTTGCACTATCACAAACACTTTCCTCGTAGGTCTACATGTGTTTTGGATGCATAAGGAACATACATCTTACATTCAACTGCACTTGGGAACATTTTATTTCTCAAAGCCTCATGAATGTGATTTTGTGCCAAAAACCCTCTTTCACAAAGCACAGAAGTAAGATAATTGTTTGAAAAACTTGTGCTAGGGTTACAAATGAAGGGAATATGTCTTTGTAAACACCTGGCTTTGCAAGAATTCCATTCACACAGTTCATGAGGTTTGTCCTTGTTACTATTAAGAAAGTGCTTAAACTGGATAAATGAATTTGCTTTATCAGCATCAGTTAGACTCTCTTCTTCAGATGTATTGGTATATCCCTCAGTTAGTCTTTCTAGATTCTTGGTACCATGATTTCAAATTCCAGCTGCTATGCTGTGTAATTTGGCAGGGTTGAGAATGGGATTGAAATCTTTAAGTACTTGCACATCTTTTTCAGGAAATCTCTGTTTTACTTTTGCAATGCTGTTGTCAATGAAATTGTCCTTGATTCCATTGAAACAATTTTTTGTGCCAGATTGAAGTCTTTGGTTCCTTTGTGTTCACAATCATTTGTGTCCATGTGGGACAGCAGCTCCTCCAAATGCTCACCAGGATTTTCTTTTATGTCTTTGATTGTGACACAGTTGCTACTAGCATTGATTGCATTTGATCAATGTCAATCATGTCCTTGTGAAAGACTTTGCTGCATTTACTGATAACACCAAGTACATCAAGAAGGAAGCAAGTAGTTTCGAGTGGACTACCTGTCTCTTAAATGAAATCAATAGTCTTAACTAACCTGAAAATCAATCAGGGCATTGAATTTCTTGTCAGGAATTTCCTCTTTTCCCATGACAGAAGCTGTTCTTACTTGAGCCTTCAATGCTGTGCTTGCCTTCTCTTAAACATGATGCACAACAGTCTCATGAGATCTTCTCTGTTTGATGATATTCATGGGTAGGATGTGGTAATTACCAGACTGATGTTGTGTCAGACTTGAGCACTGAAAATTATTTGCTTCATGCACAAAACTTTGTAATTGTTTAGGTTGACAGCCATATGCAGACAAACTTTATACTTTTTTTTTTTAGGACCATCTAAGACAAAATTTGTGTTTCTTCCCTTAGGTATCATCCCCAGAACTGTATCACTTTCAGGTTTCCTCTTTTGAGTATCAAATATATTGAATAAACTCTTTTGAGTAGACATGCCTTTGACTGTGACAAAATGGCAGGTCAAAGGAAATGTGATGATGATCACAGTGATTTTTGGGTAGGGCCTGCCACACCCAGTCTCCTAACTAGCTGGAACTTTTTTCCTTCATTCGAAGGACACACATTAGCAAATACTGTGCATCCTTTTCATTTTTTGTGTGTATAAAATGCACATCTGTGCATTGATGGGAACTCTGTTAATGATGGATTCTGTAACAGGTGAAGCATTCTCCTTTATTTGTATCAACTTTTTACTTGACTTTGCATCAACAATGGTTCATTTGTGTTTCACAAGATTTCATATCTTACTTTTCTCTTCAGCTTAAGATGTCGCTTAGAATTAAACACAGAGTGAGTGTGAAGCTCAGTACTCAAAACCAGTTTTCATCATCTGATTAAACCTCTAGAAAACTCTGTGTTCTTACTGATCTTCACATTGTGGAACAAACCATAACCAATTCTGTCTTTGTGTTTTGATCAAGTGCAGTTGGATAATTTGTTAGTATTATTTTTTCTTGGGATAACTACTGTTTAGTGTTTTGTGGCACATCAAAAGGTTGGAATACAAACCGAAAAAATACTTTGCAAGCAGCTCACTTGGGCTCTTTGGTGGAGGTTTCAAAATCATTTTATCATTTGCTCTGTTCTCATTTTGATCATGTTTTTCTCTTGGACATTTATTGCAATCTGTTGAATGTTTCTGTTAAGGGAAATATTTAATGAAAATACTTTCCTCATGGATAGATTTTTTACTAATCAGCCTTAAAAAATCAGATTAAGTGTGAGGGAAACTGCTGGAAGTTTAGTATGTACTTATTAATTGAGTGTGTGGGTCAGACAAGAAAGTATTTGGCTCTTTATCATGACGCACAGACATCACCACACCAAGTCCTTATATCATGAGTTAAATATTTTCTGGTTGAGCCTACCCTTTCCTTCTTTCTTCAACTTATCATCTTTGGGGTCATACAGCTTTGTAGCAGCCCTGCCTATACCATGAAGTACAGTTATCAAAACTGGACTTTTTAACAATTTATTTTGAAAAATATATGAAGTTGTTCTCTTCCAACAGATCGCTGTTCTACTGATGGACACTCAGGGTTCATTTGACAGCTCATCAACAGTAAAAGACTGTGCAACAATATTTGCACTCAGCACAATGACCAGTTCTATCCAGGTGTGTTGGTTTTGCTCATTGAGGAGTGCACATACCATAGGCTTGTGAATGATGGCAAGTTCAATTGCAGAATTATTGACATTATACAGCCATATAGCTTTCAGAAATTTGCTCATATCTTTTTTTTTTTTTTTTTTTTTTTAATTGCCAAGATCGGCATAATCATTATGGGGAATTAGCTTTGAAGATCTGGAATTTATCTAGATGGAGTTTTTGCTTGTAAAGCAGGTGTTAACTTTTTGAAACTCTGAGAACTTCTCCCTGTAATATGATATACAATAAACAGAATACTCAAACTTATCAGGTAGAAGTTTGTATCTTGATCTACCACCAAGTTCTCAAGTGATTATGGTGCATATTTATTTTGTTGTATATCCTGCATGTGTTACATTCTTTCTGCATTCTAATTGACTATTTTGATTTCTCTTTACCTGTAGATTTACAATTTAACAAATAATATACAAGAAGATGATCTTCAACATCTCCAGGTACATTTAAATTTTGTCGTGTGTTTTAATTTATGTCTAAATGTCTGGCTGTTATGATGATCAGTGAGCAATAAAACTGGAAATAAGCTGTTGCTTAGACATTGTACATAGTGAATTTTGTGATCTGTTGATCAGTTCTGAAACTATTGCAAATTGGTTGAACAATTCCTGAGTAATACCAAGCATAAGTCTGAGTCATTAGAAATGATTTCCATACTATTCAAGCTAAAGTTATCAGTAGTGATTCAAAGTATTCTCTGTTTTCAATTTTAGTGAGTTTACACAGGTGTATGTTCCAATGTAATGCAACTTTCCCAAGACTCCATTTGCGATTTCTTGTTATATCTTTTCAAATACTTTTTATAATAATTTGAGTTTTGGGTGTGGCTTATCTGTGAGTGCAGCCCTCGACCAGTGCTTACTGAAATAACCACATCAGTGGGTGGGAGGCTCAGGCTAAGTGGTGATTGTGCTTAAACAAAGGGTGTAGTGGTTAGAATTGAGGAACTGGCTGGATTATCATGTTGTGTCCAATAAAGAGCATTGAGTTTTGTGGGAGAACTGACCAAATGGATGGGCAATAGATTAACTTTGCATTTAAGTTCCTTTTTGCAATTGAAACTGGCATGAACTCTGGAAGTTATGTACCACTTGACCTTGAAGACTTCACTTTTTTTTCCCTCAACTGCTTTAGTAGGTAATAGTTTTGATATAAACAGTTCCTCTTGTCCCTCTGAGAAAGCAGATTTGCATGAGACATTTTTTCCTTTACTACCTGTATTCCTGAGTTTTATGTTTTTGTTTTTGTGCAGCTTTTTACAGAGTATGGCAAACTGGCAATGGAAGAAAGTGATATAAAGCCATTTCAAGTGAGAAAACTGCTTTGATTTATTTACCTAATGCATGAATGACCAATAAAAATGTTATGCCTGTGATTTTAGTGAATATTGATTGTGTCACAAGAAATTGTGATAAAATGTTTTCCCCCTTAAAGAGCCAGTTAAGAAAGAACAATGGCTTCGAAATTCATTGAAAAAAAGCAAGAATGATTAAGACCAATTATAGGTTGTCTCTTTTCATCACTATTGTATGTATATAATTTATCATTAGGATGTTAGGCACTCCAAAAATAATTGTGGATGACGGTGCTATCTCTCTCTAATAAACATGCTTCAAATTGGCAAAATTTTCTTCTTGTCCGAAAGTGCCTGTTCTACACTTAAGTGTTTCAATAACGTTTTGTCGTGAGTAGCTGCTGATGTTGTAATAGGCGGCTGTGCTCGGAAAAAGGGCCATTAGGCGAAACCCAAACATGGTCGCTTGCTGGTAGGCTAAAAAGACGGCGGCAAGTGATCTTACAAAGGGCGGTAGACTGTCAGTATCCGGGTTTTATTGAAACCACTGGAAATCCAATGAAACAAATTGACGATAATGGAAGAAAAGGGAGAGAATGTTACAATTCCCGTTCTTTCAAAGTACAAATTTTGCTTGAAATTTATTAAGTTAGGCCGGTTGACAGATTCCCCCCTCCCTCCCTCCCCCGCCGTTCCCCCAGTGAACCATGTGACCTCCCCCAAAAAAGTTATCCTCCCCTCTCTCCCCTCTCTCCCCTCCCTCAGGAGATAAACAATAACTGGTCCCTTTGTTAAATTTTCATATAAGTAGATCCCTCCTTTTCGGCGAAGTCCGTTGCAGAGTCCAAAAAGTGAGGCACTCGAAAAGCAGGTCGCCTCACTCATGAAGCTCCCGCGGCACATCGACATCATCTACGAGCTACCCGCAGTGCGCTAATATAATTTTTCCTCCACAGATTATTTTTTGACTCGCGCAACGGACTTCGCAGAAAAAGGAGGGACTGCTCGTAGTCTGTCAGGGAGGGGTCGTTGTGCATTTTTACCCTCATCTTATTTTTCAGTACCAAAGGGTTACATTTCTGAATTATCCTATTTTTCCAGAGACTGATGTTTCTGGTTCGAGATTGGAGCTTTCCTTATGAACAACCTTACGGAGCTGAAGGTGGAAACAATCTTTTAGAGAAGCGTCTTCTTACGACAGAAAAACAGCATTCTGAACTGATTCAAGTGAGGAAGCACATTAAGTCATGCTTCAGTGACATTGGTTGTTTTTTGATGCCACATCCTGGCATGAAAGTGGCCACAAATCCCACATTTGATGGCAGTCTGAGAGGTTGGTACTGGTTAGGATTACATTTAGGTACTTAAAAGGAAAACCACGAAGACATGGTAGAACAAGAGATCTTATGGGCAGAACAATACCTCAGCGCGTGCGTTTAAAAACTTTGTACATTTCTTAGCCGTCCTCATCAAAACAAAACTGTGATTTCACCAAAATTTGGATGATCTGAGAACGGAAACTCCGACGGCAAATAATTCATTTTCCAATTGGAAACTCAACGCTGCTCACATACATTTACGTTATGCCGAAGTTGAGGTTTGTCGCTTTAAGAGACGGTAAAAAATTTCGACCATTCACCAAATTCAATTTAGAAATAGGAAATAGAGATTTGTTTTTTAATCGTCGTGTTCCTTGCCGTCCTAACTGCCGATGGTCCCTATTGAACAGTCTTCATGTAAATCAAAAGAGACTTCTCTAAATATTGGCACCAATAGAAATCCAATTGCTAAAATTTAACCTCGCAAGAAATCTGCATTGAGCGCTTTTCGATTGAATGTCATGAAACCAAAACCATAAGTTATCAAAACAGCCGATTAGAAGAAAGGAAACTACCTTTAGGAACCAACGAGAACTCGAAGGATAAAAAACAACCAAACTGCCTAAGCGGGCGACCGTGATTGGTTTTAGTACTGGATCTGATTGGTTGAGGGAGAGGCGCGAGGTTGCTGGACCAATCACAGAGCGAAGTAAAGCAAAAGCCAAGCCCGGAGTACTTTGATACTTCATTGAAATTGCTCTATATATGATTACCAACCGAACCCGAAATGCCTAAGTTGAACAACAGTTCTAAACTGATTAGTCATAACTGACTTATGCTGCTCCAATAACATCACGTTAAAATTGGCCAACCAATTAATTTCACGAGCCTTACTGACCACGCGGCTGAAAAACAACTCCTCGCTTCACTCTTGGAAAATAGCCTCTGGGCAGATGGTCGGAAAGTCAATAATTGGCAGAATTACTCGCACCTGGATGATCGGGAAATTGGGGTCAGGAGGAGAGTTGCTCTATTAGTCTACCGCACAGTGATGAGGGGAATCGTTCGCGTTATTTTATTGTTCTGGGAATTTTTCTACGTCACAATTGTCTGTGATGAACCAAATGTTTTGACTTGTTCTTTAGAAATTGAAGACGAATTTAAAGAGCAGTTACGAAAACTGACCCCATCGGTGCTTTCCTCTGAAAACCTTGTTGTTAAAAGTATCAATGGTGGAGAGGTGACATGCAGAGGGCTGTTGGAGTATTTTAAGGTTAGGGAAAATTACAGAATTGTGTCATTGGGCCTCTTTTATGTGAAGCCTTTAAGCTGGCGACCCATAAGGCGATTTCATACGCCGATCGTCACCGAAAATCGTGAGTGAATTTCTCGTAAGCGTTTATTTCACGCTGCTAAAAAATTCCCCGAAACGAAGCATGTAGCCCAGTGAATTGACGGCAAGAGTATGTCTAACTGAAATTCTTGTGTAGTTTTTGCTATTTAAATAGCTTGTGTCTTTTGCTTCACTCGCGCGTAACTTGACAAAGTAATCTGCTTCATTCATCTACTGTCAGAACGAAAATCGCGAGGAAATCTTTTTATGACAACGATTGTATTGTTTTAAATTATTTTTGATGGTATATTTTATAAACACTAATATTTATTGTAAAATTCTAATATTGTGTATGTTAACGTTAGTTTTTTGCAACTTTCATACAGCATTAATTGGATGTAACTTTGATATAACATTCAAATTATGAAACTTTTACATAACACTAATTTTATGCATTTTTTATTTGAGATTTATGTAACTGCGCTCAGGGCTCCTATGGATAACAGGTTGCTTTCCAAGCACCTGAAAGAACAACCCTGAGCCTTTAGATTAAATAAAGGCGTCTGTCGTCTGTGCTTCTGTCTGCTTCATTTACCTGCTCTCAGAACGGAAGGGCTAGCACCCGAAGCGTCTGCGAAGAAACTCCTTTACGGTCGCTAATGAACATAATTGACTCAAAATTATCTGATTATTTCTGTCTGTCTGTTTGTTTCAACAGGCATATATGAAGATCTTCCAAGGTGAAGAACTACCGCAACCAAAGTCTATGTTGCTGGTAAGTTTTCTGTCAGTGAATAGCGAGGTTTTAGCGAGTGACACTGGCACAGAAAAGAGACATAAATTCTATTTGTTTTTTCTTATTATTATTTATTTTTACTTTTCTTTCAGGCCACAGCTGAAGCGAACAACCTTGCAGCTCTGGCAATCTCGAAAGACTCTTACTCAAAACAGATGGAACATGTGAGTTGAAATACTTGAAAGAAAATTCGATTTATGCCGTTGACAGTAGGTCGACTCTGCCTTCGTTAGTGTAGTGTTTCTGCAATCTAAGAGGTAAAACGCAGCGTTTCAAATGCAGGCGGTGTATCGTCAAGTTCAGTTACAATTGTAAACAGAGACAAGGTTGGATCGGCGAAAAGGGAAAAGCGCAGATTCCTGGACGTAGGAGAAGATTGTCTAATTTTTCATTTTCATTTTCCAAGATTTCAATATATCTTACGTAATTTCCTTTATTTCTTCTTCTCAGCTGTGTGGTGGCGACACGCCCTACTTAGCGCCGCATGAACTCGAAAAGAAACACCAAGAGGTGATGGAAAACTCGTTGACGATATTTCACGGCACTCGGAAGATGGGAGGTAGTGAATTTAGCCAGGAGTACGCCGAAAGACTCAGGAAGGAGATCGAAGAAGCATTTGGGAACTTTGTTAAACTTAACGACGGCAAAAACATCTTTAATGCTGCCCGCACTCCGGCCGTCTTCTTCACGCTAGTGGTTATGGGATACTTTTTCTCTAGTGTGTTCGGCTCGATTGGATTGGTGGCGTTTGCGCGCATGTGCAATCTGGTGATATGGTCCGGTCTGTTAGCTATTATTGTGTGGTCCTACATTCGATTCAGTGGGGAGTTCAGAGAATATGGAGCCAAGCTGGATCACCTGGCAGAAATTATTTGGGACGAGGTAAGGCAACAAAATTAAGAACACCGGAAATCGAGGAGAAACTGCACGCATGTTCAGAGTTGTCAACAAGAGTCGGTAGCCGGCCAAAAACGTTGGCCAATCTGCTTTCTTTAGGTGGCTACTTTCACCTCTTTTTGCTGTTAGTGCATTGGTGTGAATGTGTCTTTAGGTTAAAGCAAGTAATCAAAAAATGAAGGGGATGTTGTGGTATCTAATGCTAAATGAATCCGCTTAGCTGAGTGAAAGACCTGGATATGTAGCTTATGTAATGAATCATATAGTAAGGGTCGGTTACATCAACAGTGTGTAGCCGTTGTGTAACAAAATCGCGCTCTATGCCATCTTCAATTTGCCAAAACATTTATGTGAATATTTGTTTGTGTGGTCAGTGTCAAGAGAGCCGAAAGCTCATAGTGGAAGGGCATTTATTTAATTAAATCAACCCCCTCAAAGAGAATACCTAGGTTCACTGCTTGCGTAAACCCGCGGTTTGGGTTAGACCTCGTGTAGATAACCTGCCCTGCCCTTGAAGTTATAACATGAAATTTTCCTTTCTTGGACGTCCCTTGTAAATTGGTCGAGACGATTGGTGCTTTATCGAGACACCTCCCTCTTGCTGACAAGTTTGTCTCATCTCATCGCATGTTTGCGGGAAAATGTTTAGACAATGTTGGGAGAAGAAACACAGCAATAGCTTCTCCTTGCTAAAGGGTTAACCGTTATTTGTCATTATTATTTACTTTTCAGATGTTTATGCCAGCATACAATGCTGCATTTCAACGCGGTGTGCAAGCAGTGATAATGTCACAGACACAATCATCCAAGAAAACGAAATGATTGAAAAAAAAATCGATGATATAAAATCGAATATTAAAGCAGCTCGACTCACGGGAAGTTCAACTGCTCTTACAGACTATGCTCTTGCAACTACAAAGAGTAATTATTCCCGTAAAATTAATTGCGAATAAGTTAATCACCAGTTACGTAAAACTTGGAGATATTTTGATTTTTGTCACAAAATAGACCTTTTGAGCGGTTTCTAGTTGGGTGTTGAAACATCAACAAAACAATCTTTTTTCTTTTCATTAACCCATGTAAGTGGACTCAAAGTTGATTTAATCCGTTTGCGCTCAAGCTGAACTGCGACTAAACTGGGGTGGAGACGTAGTCACATACTTTGGTTGGTTGGTTTGTTTGTTTAAATTAACTCATAAGGTAATTTTGGCACGCAATTGAAAACCGCTTGATAGGGAAAGGGTACAGGAAATGCCACAATTTTATCAGTAACTGTTGCAAAGTTTCTTGACCTCATTAATTAGTGACACTTTGCAGTCTGTATGTCCAGTCCTCAATTGCTTTTGAACAACTAGCTTTTCCCAGGATGCCTATGGTGCTATGATAACAGTACGAATTTTTTTCTTGCCCTCACTGGGATTTTCCGATTACTTCTCGGCTCATTGCGGAACGCATTCGTAAAAGGTTGCGGCTTACAGGAATTTCCGAAGCCGTCATTGGATATGGAAATTGTTTCTGTGAATTTCCAAAATCTTTTGCGACAGTACTTTTTTGCTGATGGAAACTAAAATTATTTGAACAGTCAGACTACTTGTAAATAACGAAAATTGTTGGTGGAGAAAAAAAATTAACGTTGACCGTGTCGAGGGATTTAGAAATGACATTTTTGGAGAGGGGTGGTTTCAAACTTGTATTTAAACCTAGCACTTTTAAGTTTCTAATAACGCAATGCAAAATAATTTGCTTGACTCAAATATGTATTTACTTCAGATGGTTAGGAGTCTCAGTGGAAAATAAAACTCGTTATGCAACAGCAGCCTTGATACTTCTCGTTGAGTAACCCAGAACTGGGCTGTACGTGTTTGAAGGACAGTTAGAGCTGTTGGGGCATCAGTTTGCTATATTACCTTTAAGAGTTACAATAGAATTAAACCGAAAAATAACAGAAATAAAGAAATTATTGGTGATCGAGATTTCTTATCCACCCCTGAACACGTGGAACCAACACACTAACACAGCTGTTGCATGTAACGTATTTAGTATGATGTATATATATGATATGTTTTCTAACCACCGGTCTTTAGGCCGCCTAGTTTGTAATGAATAGAATGCAATTTGTGGCGTTTCCCGCGCATGTTACTGCAGCTGATTCATCTATGGAAAAAATTGGGAATTGCTTCGCGAACAGAATGAAAGATGAAAAGCAGAATGCGAGCTCCTTAAATCGAAACTTATTTCATTTCAACAGGCTGTGTGCAAATTTTGAGTAAATGTTATTTGCACCCATTTTGGTATTGCGAAGTTTCTTTTGTATGTCAAATTTTGTGTTTGTCTTAATTTCCAATTTTTTTTTCATTTTGTGTACCCCTTAGTAAGTCTTTCCATACCTGAAGGGAAGTTTTTAATTTCTCCAAGGGTTAACGTTAACTACATCAAAAATTTAGCGGAAGAACTTTCGCTAGTAGTCCTGGTTCCATCACTTCTTTTCACGTCCGAGCGGTAAATTATTTCACGAGGACAAAGCGTTCGCAGTACGTAACTCTACAAATTTGTTTTCAACTTTTCAGCCAAGAGTACCACGATTTCGTGCTATAAACGTGTGAGCTGTGTAACAGATAGATTTTTGTTTATCTATTGACTTCTTTTATTGCTAACAATTGCAAGCTTCGAAAAAACTTTCTCCTCACGATAATGAAGTCAATACATTTCTAAGGGTTTTTGTTTTCGTCAGTATTCACTGGATAGAATAAAATCACTCCACAAATTCCTATGGAAGCAAAGGAGTGCAAGAATTAATTAGAACGAAATAAATCAAACAGGAAGACGTTGGCTAAGGTGATAACACTCTTTTTGGAATCCGTGAGTGACAGCTGTGCAAATTTTGCGCGGAGACATGTAGGCATGCCCTTGATCATTCCCTTAACATTTGATAAAATATTCAAATGCAATGTAATTTAATTTAAGACATTTGAAAACCATCAGATTCAATGACCACCTGCGCTTGAACTGGGCACCGAAAAGAAAGCTTCTTTACATTTGAGCATAAAAAATATAACGGGTTCTATTCATATTCTTTCCCTGCGAACCAAAGTTTAATTAAACCTAACAAATGTTGATGACACAGTGTTATTGAAAATTGAAATCACCATATTGATATACCGGTTACCATGACGACATGTTGTGATACTTCTGAAAGATACAACTGGTATCTTCCGCACGCTCGTTGAATATATCATGTTTTGCACAGGACTAAGGTCTGGTATTTCATTAATATCTTTATAGAGATAATTATATCAATTTGTTCTCCGACTCTATGACTATTCTAAATTTTTATCAAATTATATCGATTCGTTGAAAACCGCAGTGTTGCGAACCCTAATTTAAAGAAATTAGATATTGGAAATTCGTTTGCCAAGAAGGAAAACCTTGAAAAACTGTCTAGAGAACCATGTAATGTTCGATTCTCAATACGCTTTCTACAAAATTGCATTTTTAATATCCCTTTTTGTTTTTGTTTTTCTTTCCGACGATGAAAACAAGCAAACTGTCGCTAAACTAAGAATTTACATACAGTCATGATATTAGTGTTTCAGCTTGTAGATTTGTTGTTTGATCGTGGTGTCTGGACCTATTATATTCTTTGGAGCCACTCATAATCCATTCCTGTATTGAATTAACATTAAAGAAAACCTCTTTTTCTCTTATGAAGAAAGTGTTAGACTTATTTTAGCTTCACCAGCGGTAAGATATACCAGGTTAGCTAAATAAAGCAAATAAACAAGAGAAAAGGGGAAAAAAAACACTCCATCTCTGAGAGGTTACGCTCGCGCAATCCAGTAAATTGTATACGTTTAGAATAGAAACTCTTGAGGATAAGTGGTTGTTTGCTACCATCAAAATCTCATTTTCACTGATTACCAGATCTGTTGATAATTAGGTGCTAAAAGGCGGACCATCGAGCTGGCGCCAGTTCGCAATAACCTAAAGAGACGGAGAAGTGATAAGTCAACATGACCACAAATCGAGATTTATTCGGTGAGAATTGAGCGCAAAAGTAAATACACTACCAAAAGAAACGTGCTTGATTTTAGTTAACAAAGTTGTAGCTACTTTTAATAACGTTAGAGCTATGTGAATCCCGCGCTTTGATATGTACGTGATCCGAATTGTGAAAGAGCGCCGCTTCGGCGCTTCTTTCAGATATTTCCAGAGGTTTATGTTCTCTCTGTGGCATAAGAAGCAATAAATCACTCTTTGACACGCTGTTTTCTGTCGCTCACTGGAGATGTTCAAAGTTGACACCAAACAGGTCTACAAATCTTGAATTACTTGAACATGATTTGTTTGTGTGTTCTAACCGACGAAGTCTTGAGAAGGTACTTGAACACAGACGATTCTTCAGGGCCTGTTTTCGTAAAATCACTTCGTAGATCTTTGAAAAACGATGACCTAACCTTAAAACAAATCTTCTACACATCAGTTTCCCTCAAAACCTCTAACTTTGGCCATTCGTTCGGATAGAAGCTCACGTGTGATTCACGAATTGCAGTACTTCGAAAAGTCCAATCTCGCATTCTTTGCTTTCCTCGGACAAACAAGCGTTTGAAACCACGACGAAATTCCCTACTTACGATAGAATAAATAATTGGATTGACAGCTGAATTCGCAGTCGTAAAAATAACCAGCACATTATACAAAACCCAAAAATATTCCAGGAAGAAAACGCGGGGCCAGTATAAAGCTACCAAGCGGAAGATGTTGATAGGAAGCATTGATACTGCAAACGTTACAACAAGCGGGGTTAGTATCCTCTTCGCTTTTGTGTTTTCTTTTAGTCGATGGTTTTCCTCCTTCTTACTCCGTTTGGCGCTTTTTCCGCGGCTAACAGTGCTACATTTTCGTTCAATGTCCTTGTGGAAGCCCGTACTTTGAGCTAGACGACTTCCGATTTTAACATACGTCCAAGAGATTATTCCAAAGGGAAACACGTACGTGAAGATTGTCAAAGTTATAGTATAAATTTGCTTCCAGAGAAGAAAACTCGGTTTTCTGAACCAGTTCACAAAGCAAGCCGATGTTTTTTCGTCGAATTCGATAACAAAGAAAAGAGGCAACGAAACAATCGCGAAGGAAACCACCCAAATTGCAACGATTGTTATCGAAGTGGTGGCCAGAGAACGACCGCGGTAGACCTCAATACGTTTCACAATATTGATATATCTTTCCACAGCGACGCATGTAACCAACCAAACGGAAGCCCCGTAAAATGTGTCAATAGTAGGGTATACATATAAACAAATTCCTTTCCCAAGAGGGAAATAAGTTTTAACTTGTTCCTGTAGTACAGCCATGGGAAACACGATTGTCAATACACCAATATCAGCGATTCCCAGATTGAATAAATAGCGATTTATGGCTGTTTTGGTTCGCATTCTAGAAATCACAACACAAACCAGGATGTTGCCCAAAACTCCTAAAACAGCTAAGGAGGCTTCAAAGACGAGGCGAGCTATTTCCAATGCAGGTGGTTCGGAGTAATATTGCATTGGAATAAGAGCCGACGGTATTGGATTTATCGTCGGGTTGTTCGAGCAATTTTCCGAAGAAGCCATTCGAACCGCGAGATCTTCGATTCTATCTCTAATGTCGTGCAACTGACGTGAATAGGCCCTTGAAATGGGCTCCTACTGTTCGAGAATCTTGCATCACCGTCAATTTCGTAAAGTGACGTGTATTTATGATTTGAGATTCGTAACTCGCCGCCCGATATCTTATTGGATTTCTGCTTTCCAGATAATTGTGTTGATTGTTCTGGGGCGTCTAATAAATCATCTTAAGGACAGCTGGCAAACACACCATCGAAATCTCTTGAAGTTATAACACCTTGTTGCTTCATGGTCAATAGTTCCTGAAGAGCATTGTTCTTTAAATAACAAGATTATTCCTAAACCGTCTTTGGTGAGTTAATTTTCTTTCGTTTGGGCGCTGGGAATGTACACAATGTTGCTTTTCAAGGTCGGACTTCTGTTTTCGCCGATTACTTTCAGTCAAAGACGCATAAATTTTTTAGCGCGCCAGTAAACTTAACGTCAGACATTTCGGTGTTCAAGGGCTACGAAGTGTCACATACATGTTGCACTTGTCTTAAGTGGAATAAAAGTGATTAGCTCACATGGCTTAGTTGACATTGAACTCTTCGTCTCTTTCCGCCGTTACATACAACGTAAATACTTCTTAATCTGTTAGAATTAAAAGCTGTTTCACATTTTTCTCTTCGCAAAGAGATTAAGTCAACCTGGTTAAGCCGCAATTCGGGCCTTAGCCGATAGAACAGATTAAAATCAAACAAAAGAGTTATATGAATATCAAAAGCAAATCCAATTAGAGGGATCTTGTTATACTTAGCTGTCCCATTAATGAAACAATTCATTCGGAGTCGCTACAATAGCGATGGTAATTAACAAGAAATAAACTGTGAATTGTATGTACTAAACAGTAATGAAAGGACTGCAGTCGACCTTGTTTACGGATGCCATTTGGCATCTCTGCAAAAAAGTCACAGTTATCTCGACCAACAGACAGTCATGAGCTTTGTTTCTCTCTCGGCCAAATGGTTCGATACCCCACTGTTCTCTGATCAAATGGTATAAGTTTGTGAATCGTTCATAATTGTTTATTGTACTTGCGAAAAGCGCTCCTTCGATTAAAATGTTCTTTGAAGCAGACATGGTGGCGTAATTTGATTTGGAATTTTTCACCGTATAACCTATTGAGGAGTTTGGCCACCGTAACGAATTTCAAAGCTGACGTTTTGAACGTTAGCCTTCGTCATTCGCTCTGACGAAAGGCTAACGCTCGATATGTCAGCTTGTTATGATCACCCCTCGTGGTAGTTTTTTTCGCAGTCAGTTTTTCATGGTCCCCCATTTACGCCATGCTGGCAGTTACTGTCCTCCTCTGTTCTCCTGAAAAATCATATGACCCCCCCCCCTCCAAAAGAAAAAGAAAAAGATCTTCCACCCCTCCCTCCGCCGATAAATAATTACTAGTCCTTTATCATGATTTGTTTTTCATTGTCTCCTCCATTCTGTCTCACGGTACTATAGTGGGTGAGTTATAACTCGTATTCAAGTTTCGTCCAACAATAAGACTGGTCAATTGGCGGAATAGGGTTTGAAGCTATTCAAATCAAGTTCAATTCTTTACATCTACTTTCGCTTTATATATCTGCCCTGATTCTAATGAATTATTATACATACTTAATCATAAAACTACGATTTCCTCGATTGTGATTCATGGCTTAAAAAACTCCTATTTTCTACTAATTCACTTTCCAGGTTGTTATTGGACAATACAATAAGCCAATTAAATTCAAAGTTGTAGTTTAAATCAACCAGTCACAAACTTAGTTTGAATCGCCATATAAATAGTGTATCGACTCCTTAATTGCAATAGTAAACAATTGACGCCTCCTTTGTCAGTCCTTTGATTGGTTTACGTTTGGAATCTGATTGATAAAGAAGAAGGCGCAAGTTTTCTAGAACAAGCACACAGCGTAGTAAAGCAAAGCTAAAGTAATATGACGCATTGCCTTCGGCACTGATCTGAATATTGCTCTTATCTTGTTTTGCATTTACGCGCGACGTGCGTGCTTTCACGAATTAGCCAATCACGTCAAAGAAATATAACCTTGACATTGGAAAAGAGAAGAACATTTTTTGCGTACTTTTGACGTTTGTTTTAACGGAGTAAAGTTTTAGAGTTTTTGAGCTTTCGTTCGCGCGAATTTGTGACCCGTTTGTTAAGAATTTTAAGAGGACTCCAGCCTTTTTTTTCGTTGATGGATTTCTTACACCAACCTTGACATTGAAATCTGACGTAGACATTTTTCGCCTACTTTTGTTGTTTGTTGTAAGGCTTTTCCTCTTTTTTTTTTAGTTGTTTTGAGACCTCGTTCGCGTTAATTTGTTACTTCTCGTATGGAAATTTAAGAACTTTCGGAGTTTTTATTTAGGCCAAATGTTGTGGTTCGTTTAACAAGTTCAATGCAAATTTCCTGGGCAGTTTGGTCTCTCGCCTCATTTTTCGAGAATGGATTTTTACGCCAGGCACGCAGACGAAAAAAAGGCCGGTGAGGTGTCCTGAGGTGTGTGACGACAGTTGCATAAAAACAGAATAAACGCAGAATTTGGGGAAGCCTCCGGTTCCTTTAAATGCACAAGCGCGAGACCACAAGAACGTTTGTTGATGAGCTCTCTATGGGCATGAGTTTCAGGAAAATAGCCTCTACTAGTTACAGTGGTCTTTGAACGTTAAATTTTTGTCCAACTAAAATTACTCTTAGAGAAAAGCAAACATTAGTCAGAGTTTGCGTTTAGAGGGTTCATATATTTAAGAGTTTAGATGATTAGGTCAGTGACCCTAATTAGTGGTTTGCAATTGCTGTTTGGCTTTTGAGAGTCTTTTAGCGGCCATAACTGGTTTCAGACACTAACAGTAATGCATGAATAAACACGAGTACCGTTGGAGAGCGTTTAATGAGGACGGATCAAAGAGGCCATCCAAATCTATGCAAGGCTTTAAACTACGACATAGATCAAATTTGCCATTCTTGAAAACCGGTCTCAAATTACATAGTAAACAACAGGGATTGCGTTTATCAGTTTAAAACCAACTGAATGAGCGACAGATACGTACTAATGGTAGAAGGAAAAAGAAACGGCCTAACTGTTTACAAATGTTTGATCAAAATCTGCCGATTTCTGTCACTTTCACCGCCATATTGAAAATGACAATCCCATGATGCAACGCAATCGGAGTGCACACACCTCCTCCTTTTTTTTGTTTTTTTACCTACAGCTGGAATAATATAATATAATAATACATATAATACATATATTATACATATTATAATATTCCAACCTGTTCGTCACGCAACGACTTCCATCTTGTACTGCTGTGCGTTACATTTGCTGTAGTTTTCTTTACGCTGTCGCTTTGAACAATGACCGATACTCAAGAAAGAGTTGTGATAAACCAAAATACTAATGGTCTGAGATTTGAATTCTTAAGGAGGTTAGAGAACAGCTTTATTACAAGTGAACGGTTTATTTACGGAACCATCGCCGCAGTGGTTGTTGTAGTGGCGGTTTTTTACCATAAGCACGCTATCAATTCCCATGAAGCCCGCTTTGAAACAACTGTGGAGGCTATCCAAAAGCTCGAGGAAAAAATGGTCAGAGAGCTCAATGTCCTTAGAGGACTTTTAGGTAGGTAATGTAAAATTGAAAACTATGGCGCCAGGTGTTCTTCTACAACAAGCATCACAGTGGAGTTAAATGTGAATGAGGACGTTCAAATTGGTAGTAAACGTTGCTATGCGTGGCTATACATTTTAATCAGGCAGAATGTATTTTTTATATGATAGTATTTAATTTCATTCAATTTAAAGCGAAAATATCTCAGAGTATTTGTTCGCAGACATTATCTTCGATTATCTATTCCGAGTTGCGAACAGTTTTCCGAGAATTAAGCGAGAGGAAAACTGTCATGTTCTTTATGTGATCAATCCTTTTAAAGCTTCGTAAACTACAGCTCTTTAGATTCGGATATCGAGCCTTGATTTCAATGACAAGCTCCTCGTAAGTATGTTTTTGTTCGATAAGAAACCGGCGGACTAAGTCTTTATCTAAGACATTTTCTACCGCCGACATCTTAGTTTCCTAAATACATGTCGGAGCCCATGCAAAGCTCTCTGAAAATATGAAACCGCAGACGGAAAAACCAAAATTCTGAGAACCATTACGACTCCAGCCCGGATTATTCGTGACTTACTGAAATGGGTGACACCGCTGGATTTTTTACCTCGAAGGCTCGGTTTATTCCTTTGGGCATTGCTTTCGGTGGCTGCCGAAAACGTGTCGAATGATTTCGGTTTTATTCGTTTCGAAAAAGGTGAGATATTTTGGAAGAAGACCAAAGGAACTGCGGAAGGTACTTCAAAAGACTTGAACAATAGTGTAATTAAGCTACCTTGCGCGAACAGACTTGTGATCTTCTATCCTTTTGTTTACATTGTCTTGAGATGAATGAACTCGAGATCGATAAACTGCAATCATTTGAATGGATTTAGTTTCTATTCACGGTGTATTTTTAGCCTTAATATGTTTTTAGGATTAAAGAGCGTCGCAAAAGATTTAAAAATGGAACTTGGACGAGTTGTTGTAATCACTGCGAAGAGCAAAAGCGAAAATATATAAAGGGGTAAGTTTCTAAAGAAACTGTGGTGCTGCGTCGGTGGGAGAGTATAGCAGGTAATTAGTGTTAACAACTGGGTTGAAAACGTAAATTAGCCACCGTAAAGGGTAAAAAAGCTGACGTTTCGAGCGTTAGCCCTTCGTCAATCGCTCTGACGAAGGGCTAACGCTCGAAACGTCAGCTTTTTTACCCCTTTACGGTGGCTAATTTACGTTTTCAACCCAGTTGTTAACACTAATTACCTGCAAAAGCGAAAATAGTTTATCATTTCGAGCGCCGATCGTTTTGTTTTGATCCGAATGAGTGCACTTGAATTAAACTACTTCTTTATTATGTAAATATTGCGTGTCATAAATAGTGCTCGTGTTCGCGCGCTGGCGGTTCATTCTTTCACAACTTTCGTCTTGTTCGAATGAACTTGTGATCTGACCGTGTTGTTTATTGTCGCGATGGAGTTTAGTGTTGGCGATTCTGTCGAAGCTGTCGATTAGTTAGGAATTTGGACAAAAGCGAAAGTTGTCAGCAAATCGGACAACGCAATTGTTGTAAATTTTCCTCCGTTCATCTGTTAACAAAAGAAAAATATCTCACCTACATCAGAGAAGTTGCGCTCTTCACGATCTTCGGAAGCATGCCGGCATGTCGGCAAACTCATCGGAATGAATAAGTAATGAGAAAGAACAATAGCCTGAATATATGAATACTTAACAACCTCAATTTTTGAGGTTCACATTTAATCCGCTATGGAGTTGTAATACATTTTTAGGGTCGCACTGCCACAGATACAATAGTACTACTACCGTATTTATTCGCCCATAAGCCGATCTCGGCTATAAGCGGAGACCCTAAACTTTTTCATGTCAGCAGCTGTTGCATTGAAATAAAAAATAAACACAAAACATTCGGCTATAAGCCGAGACCTAATAATTGCAAAGTACTCCACGCGTGTCGTTAACTGAGATGAATTAACATAAACCGAAAACAAAAGGAGCTTCCCTCTCGGGAAACATGCAACCAAAAAGTAGGTTATGAATAAACATATTCCTTAAGTCCAACTTACTCAGTTGTTATTGGTCGTTTGGTCTTCTACCGAAGATTGTTGGTACTATTGACGGCTCTCACGTCAGAATAAGAGCACTTACAGCTAGCGACAGTGCACCGGATTAGTTCATTCGCTACCAACAACACGATTACATAATCCAGGCTAATATTGATGGCAAGAATAATTATGTGTACTTCGCATGTGGAACTCCTCGAAGCATGCAAGACGCTCGCGTATTTAGGTAGAGTACATCTTTCAAAGAGCTAGACAGGGGGACAACCTAAGCCGGCCAAATGTGAATGTGAAATAGGTCCTTAACTTTTAGGTGATAGTGCCTATCCCCCTCCCCTTTGGCTAATGAAACCATATACTGAAAGTACACGGGACCCAAGGAAATTAGAATTTAACAAGAACCTTTTCTTTGGAAGAGTTAAGGTTGAATGAGCTTCGTTTTATGAGATAGATGAAGAATACTCTCCAGGTCGTCATCTCGTTATTACTGTTTTATAACTATTATTATTAGTGGTAGTAGTATTATCAATAACTTATTTATTTAGGTTTATCAGTGAGTAAGAACTGTGCCGAGGTGTACAAATCTGGTGGAATAACCAGCGGTGTTTACAGAATCAAACCGGATGGTGCTGGACCTGACTTTGAAGTGTTTTGTGATCAAAAAACTACTAACGGGGGATGGACAGTGGTCCAAAAGAGGCTGGATGGCTCTGTTCTTTTCGATCGCGGCTGGTCTGACTACAAGAATGGCTTTGGTAACCTTGATGGCGAGTTTTGGCTCGGACTGGAAAAAATACACCGTTTGACAAAATCCCCTAGCAAGCTTCGAGTCGATCTGGAAGATTTTGACGGCAAAACTTCTTACGCCGAGTACGACTTAATTGTGGTAGCGACTGAAAGTAAGAAGTACCAGTTAAGCGTTGGGAAATATTCAGGTAAATTGTTTGAAGCAAATGAAAGTAATTGTTTTAACTTAACGGATTCTCTTTAGTTGTTCTAAGAAAAACTCAAAAGTTTTTATTGAAAATTTTTTTCAAAACTTTGACTTAGTTCAAGAAGAGTAATTTGTGTCTTTGCTTCTTAAGTAAGGTTGGACCATATGACGTCTTTGTGAATATCTCGCAAGAGCTGATTTCGAGTTTTACTTTATTGAAGGAAGAGCTGGCGACTCCCTTACTCAACATCACGGCTATCCCTTTTCAACCAAGGATCGGGACCATGACAGTCATAGCAGTAACTGTGCTGAGAAATATAAAGGAGGCTGGTGGCATATTGACTGTTATTACTCAAACCTTAATGGTGTCTATCGTCATGGAGAGGACTCAGTTACTACTTTTGGAATCAGATGGAATAGCTGGAAAGGAAAGCCCCAGTCTATGAAGAGGGCTGAGATGAAAATCAGACCAGTGAAGGTTTAGAGCATATATGCTAGCTTACTCAAAGAAATAACATTTTAAAACGAATTTTGATTGTAGTTCTAGTTACACGGTATGATCTGTGTACGAGATAAACTTTGATTACTTATGCATTAATTACTTTGTATTTGCTCACCGGAAATGCCCTACGAAAAACGCCGGAAATGGCATTTCCAAGACCCTGTGTCTAAAACTTTCTGAGAGAGCACGTCCCCTAACCCCCGTAATTTGGAGCACCTTCGTCGTTCAATAATTTCTGCTCGTTTATACACCTTCAAAATCTCACGCTACGCCCCTAGTTGTAAAAAAGAGGTTTTTAAAAAATTTTTGAAGAAGTCTGAATAAGTATACAATGTGATTATCAGCCGAACAAAGTAAACAACAATACTCCACCAGCGCCTAGCTCTTCAACCCCTAAAAGTGACCAACATCTAAGTTCTCCTTACAACATCAGCTCTGAATCATTCATCAAGGTCCAAAATCATAAAGAAATGATCACCAACTGAAGAAGCTCTTGATTGTTAAACAAATTCTCCCTGTCAGCACCTTAGGAAATGTAAAGAGAATAGTATGGAGAATATGCATACTGATGTTAGGGTGTAAAGGTTGAAACTGAACGGTTAAAGATGCTAAGTTTGTCATATGTGATATATTGTTACCGACCATAATAAAGCCACTATCATAATGACAATGAGATTTGTGTATATGATATCTCCCCACAATAGATATGCACCTAGTGAAACTAGAAGCAGGGAATTAGAAAGGAGTACTGTACTCTTAACGTTACGTTTGTCTATTAGGTTTCATTTCTCAATGGCATGATCCTGGTATATTAAGGATTCCTAGCTGCTAATAAATAAACTTTTAAAAACCGCAATAGCTATTAAATTGAACAATGGACTAAAACTTCCTTCTCTTTAGTGAGATGTTAGAATCGATGGTCAAAGAGTGATGACCAGGTCAGTAAAAGCGGGCTTGTAATGATGTTCATTTTGACAAAATTATCCCCCCTTCCTCCAGAAATTAAACACCAGAGAATGGTCAAGAAGAATACGTTTCGGTACAGTTTACCAAAGACCCAGGTTTCTGATCCTTTTTGGTAACCTAAAGGAGGGGGTAATACAACGAAGGGCGGGAGTTGGGAGGCAAAGAGGCTCAAAAGCAAGTGAGGAGGGAGGCTGTGACCCCCTGTCCCCCTCTTTCCCCCAAGGCCCTACAATGCAACGGTACAACTAAGCCTTGAAACTAGCAACCAAGCTTTTGAATTTGTTACATTCTTACTAAAAGCACTTGAAAACGAAAATTTCTAATTAAAATTAAGAAAATAGTAAATTTAATATTATCATTATTATCATTTTTTATTTTTTCTTTATGCCCGAAAAAATGATCATTATACCGGCATTATGCTCGACGCTACTACAATAACATTATACCCAGAATTATGTCGGCATAGTGCATCCAACCTAAGCTTTAAAACTTGACAGGTCTGATTTTCATCTCAGCTCAGCTCTCCTCGCAGAGTAATGGTAACTTTTCCAGTGATACCAGTTGACTCTATCAGCATGCGATGAGTGCTTCCCACGATGATAGTAACCGTTGAGGTTTGAGCTATGACAGGCCAAGTATCACAAGGCTCCTTTAAGTTCCTTAGCACAGTTACCGTCAAAGCTTTCATTGTCCTGATCCTCGGTTGTGAAGGGATAGCCATGGTGTTGAGTAAATGAGTCACCAGCAGTTCCTGTAATAAGGTGAACACTTGAAATTAGCCCTTGTGGGATATTAAAAAAAAGACTTTAATTCTAACATACCTTAGAGGTAAAGACAAAAATTCACGTTACCCTCAATCGAGAAAACTAAGTTACAGTTTTGGAAGGTCATAAGATACTTATTTCGGATCGTCTTAGAAAATATCGTAGAAGTTCACCACAATACATTTACGTTAGTATCACAGAAATACAAATGACCGGAAAACTTCTAAGTTTTGCCCAAAAACTCCACCGTCAGCTAAATAGAGCTGATCAAAAGAATTACTTTTATTTGCTTCAAACAATTTACCTGAATATGTCTTAACGCTCAACTGGTACTTCTCGCTTTCGTTTGCCACTACAAATATGTCGCACTCGGCTAGGACAGTGTTGCTGCAGTGTTGTTACTCAAAATCTTCCAGATCGACCCGGAGCTTGCTCGGGGATTTTGTCAGGCGGTGTATTTTGTCCAGTCCGAGCTAAAGCTCGCCATCAAGGTTACCAAAGCCATTCTTGTAGTCAGACCAGTTGCGGTGGAAATCCACAGTGCCACTCAGCCCCTTCTAGGCCACTGTCCATCACCCGCCAGCAGGTTTTTGGTCACAAAACACTTCAAAATCAGGTCCAGCACCATCCGGGTTGATTTTATAAACACCACTGATTCTTTTGCCAGATTTGTACAACTTGGCACAGTTCTTATACTCTGTTGACGAATGAAAAGAAGAAAAACATAAAACACACAAACAAACAAACAGACGACCTGGAACTTCGAGGAACACTGGCACGGTAGGCCACGTATATACATGGTGTAGACTATGAGCAGTCCCTGTTTTTGGCGAAGTCTGTCGCGCGAGAAATGAAAAAAATATACACAGAGGGCCCATAACGTACCAACCATGAAACATGTGTGCTCCGCTGGAAAGACTTGACAATTCCGGTTCAAATTCTCTACCCCACCCAGGAAAAGACCCAATTCCTCAATCCCTGGGAAGTTCCTGGATGTGAAGCTTCGGCGCATTATAACACCAGATATCCGCTGATTTCAGCTGGGGTCACGCGAAGCACATCACAATTATTCTCGAACTTCGCTTTCGGAAAGCTTTCCGCTTCTTTGAACAGATCTAACCTCGTCCTTAGGACGACAACATACAAAAGCATAGAAATCGTGGACTATCCTCTGAGAAAATTAAGTTTTACATATATATATATATATATATATATATACCAAACCGAAAAATGACCACCGATTCTTATGCTGTGATAAATCCCCACCGTTCCCTTGTAAGCCATGTAATACCCCGAGGATAAATAATGGTCGATCCCTAAGATGACGTTGTATAATATGACGAGGTCAAGCCGTCTTCAGGGTCTCTTCAGGGGGCAAAGAAGAGAGAACCTAAGGAGGAATTAGTGACGTAATATGGTGTGACGACCAGTCAAGTAATGAAAATGTCACGGGTTTAAAGTGTAACTATTTTATGAAACATAAAAGTAAATATTCTTATGAAGAAATGGTATTAACCATTCGAGATATATTAATGAAAGTCTTTCCCGTGATTTATTTCGATGAGTCCGGCCTAGGTGCTAAAGTTTACCTAATTTGCCCCTTCACGCGTGACAGCTGTCCTCTGCGCGGCAACTGCGTAAATCTACGTGTCGATTGCGTGGCTTACCCCGTGGAGTGTGAAGTGCAGTGAGTCATAAGTGACTGGAACCTACGTGGATTTCACTGTCTGCACTGTTGTTCACTGGATCTAATGCTCACTAGAAAATTAGATGGAACCCAAGACGGCAAGAACTTCGCGTGTTACCGATGCAGCGGACTAGATGGGCACGATCCTGACGAATATGGTGCAATTAACTCGAGACGCAACGCTTGCAGAAAAACGGGTCATCTTTCCAGGGTGTGTAAATCGACTAAGAAACTCCAGCGCCGTTCAAACTGGAACAGCAACTAGTGGTCAGGCCAGAATCCAAAGAAAACCGACAAGAAAGTATGCAACCTGAGAGCAGGATGGATTAACGAAGAAACGATCTCTGACGATGAGAGTGAACCTGTGTACTAAATGAACAGTCAAGATAGCTCAGTCCAAGTGAACTTAAATGGAAAGAAGACAAAAATGACAATGGATACCGGATGTAAATAGAATATCATTTCCTCTCAATTTTACAAATCCAAATTTGAGCCCTTACCACATTGCATCGTTTCGAAACTGCGTTGTGCATGCAATCTGCATTAGCAGTAACTATTACCAGACCGATTTCATAGGGGCGAATCTAGGAAGCTTTGATGAGGGGAGGGGCACCCTAACTTTGATTAGTCCCGAACCCAGACCTTTCACGGTCAAGCGGTTGTTCTTCCAATTCCAGTTAACGTTACACTGTAGGATCCGGGTACGAGATTCAACTTAAATTAAGAGATCAAAGAAAGTATAGTAAGACGAGTATCGGGATCTTGTCGTTGCAGGACGTTTGATGTCAAACAAGAAGTTGAAAAAAGAAAACCCCATGGTTCTGACCAGAAGTAGGGGGAGGGGGTGGAAAGGGGGGTTTGGTTTCCCCCTCACGGTATAGAAATGTATCTACAACTTTTCGCTGCTGCCGAAGTTTAATTTATTGACACTGCATCTTACCGTTAATTCTATTGCTGGGGAAAATAAACAACATCCACTTACTAATGCATTTCTCATATTAAACTCACTGCAACATTTGCCCTATGACGTTCGGGTAACGCCGACATCCGGTGAAATCGCCCAAAAAATACACAATTTTTGTCAGAATATTGCCTTTCGTTCCCAAACTAGGATCTTTTTCCCAAATGTACCACCAGAAATAAGTTCAGCGATATCTAAGCTTCCATGGATAGCAAGATGGACTTGTTTTATGGCGATATAGGCATGGCATTTTTACATCTTTTTGGCACCGTTTTGATGTAAATATTACAAAGCGTGACCGGTCGGGAAACCATCGGGTCGAGGAAAACTGGGTTAGCTTGACAGCGCATGCTTCGAATGAAAATGTACCACCAGATTTAAAAAAGGGGAATAAATTTGGCGCATTTTGATATATAATTTGATGGGGTTTGCGCCGATTGTGGCATGGCAAAATGACTTCGAAAGTACTCTATCTTGTTCCCTGCTTTCTTTTTGCTTGCTGCGTGACGGTGTCTGCAATAGGAGACCACTTTGAAGGAGTGAAAATGGCGATTCAAACGCGAAGTTCAGCCGGGTTTGTGGGAGTTACTACATCACGGGCGAC